AGTTTAAGGAAAATTGGTATTAGAACTTCTTTGAATGTTCAGTAAAACATCCCGTGTTGCCATCTGGAACTAGGCTTTTGTTTGTTGGGAGTTTTTTGTTTGTTTGTTTTTAATTAATTTTTGTTACAGATGTTTTTCCTTTTTCCCCCACTGATTCCCCCCTCTCCCTCCCTCCCTGCCCTGTCCCCAGCTTTGTTGTCCATGTCCATTGTTCATGCATACATGCATATAAGTTCTGTGGTTTATCTCTCCCCCACCATCCCCTCTTCTGGGGATTGTCAGTCTGTACCCCATTTCCATGTCTCTGGGACTACCCCGTTCTTCAGACTGTTATGTTCATTATATTCCACAAAAAAAGTGAGATCATATGATACTTGTCTTTCTCTGTTTGCCTTGTTTCACTTAGGATGATACTTTCCAGGTCCCTCCATGTCGTCTCAAAGGATAAGAGATCTTTCTTTCTTACAGCTGCATAGTACTCCATTGTGTATATATACCACAGCTTTTTTATCCATTCATCTACTGATGGATATTTGGGCTGTTTCCAGATCTTAGCTATTGTAAATAATGCTGCTATGAACATGGGGGTACATATATTCTTTCTGATAGGTGTTTCAAGTTTCTTAGGGTATATTCCTCCTTCAGCATTTCTTGCAGTGCTGGTTTGGTGGTGGAAATTTCTTTAGCTTTTTATTATTATTATTATTCATGATGCTCTTTATTTCTCCTTCATTTTTGAATGATAGTCTTGCTGGATAGAGTAGTCTTGGATTCAGACCCTTGCCTTGCATTGCTTTGTACACTTCATGCCACTCCCTTCTGGCCTGCAACATTTTTATTGAGAAATCAGCTGACACTCTAATGGGAGCTCCCTTGTAGGTAACTATCTGTCTCTCTCTTGCTTTTTTAAAGATTCTTTCTTTGTCTTTAATGTTTGCCATTTTCATTATGATGTGTCTAGCTGCGGGTCTTCTGGGGTTCATCTTGCTTGGGACTCTCTGTGTTTCCTGGACTGTGTGACTTTTTCCTTCACCAGTTTAGGGAAGTTTTCTGTCATTATTTCTTCAAACAGGTTTTCTATTCCTTTCTCTGATTCTTTTCCTTCCGGTACCCCTATAATGTGAATGTTGTTATGTTTTGTATTGTCCCACAGCTCCCTTAAACTCTCCTCCTGCTTTATAAACTTTTTTTTTTCCATTTGCTGCTCTTTTTGGGTGTTTTGCTCTACCTTGTCTTCTAAGTCGCTGATTTGGTCTTCGGCTTCTTCTAATCTACTATTGAAACCTTCTAAGGTATTTTTCATAACAGCTATGTCATTCTTTATTTCCTCTTGATTTTTATGCATAACCTCTGCCTCTTTATATGTAACTTCTACCTCTTTTTTTAAGCTGAAGTAGTTCCCAGTGAGCTCTTCATAATTCTTATTAAGTTTCTTGTAGTTCTCACTAAATTGTTTGAGCACCCTTAAAATCATTGCTTTGTTTTGAATTCTCTATCTGACATCAACTTTGTTTTTATTTCTCAAGATTTCTATGGCTATTTGAGGTATATTGTTGTTCTATATTTTTGCATTAATTATTCTAGTTCTGTAAAAACACTATTGGTGTTTTGATAGGGATTGCATTGAATCTATAGATTGCTTTGGGCAGTATGGACATTTTAATCATGTTAATTCTTCCTATCCATGGGCACAGTGTATGCCTCCATTTATTTGTATTCTCTTCAATTTCTTTTTTGTGTGTCTTACAATTTTCTAAGCACAGTTTTTTCACCTTCTTAGTTTAACTTATTCTTAATTATTTTATTTTATTTTTTATTGATGACATTGTAAATGGCATTGTTTTCTTAGTTTCTTTTTCTGATAATTTATTGTTTATGTATAAAACCAATTTCTAAATATTAATTTTATATTCTGCTACTTTAATGAATTCATTTATCAGTTCTAGTTTTAGAGTGGAATCTTTAGGGTTCTCCCTATATAGTATCATGTCATCTACAAATAATGGCAATTTTACTTCTTCCTTTTTTCCTTCTTCTTCTCTGATTGCAGTGGTTATGACTTCTATACAATGTTGAATAAGAGTGGATCAGGTGGATATTTCTGTTGTCTTTCTAATCTTAAAGACATATTTTTAGTTTTTTCTCATTGAATATGATGTTAGCTGTGGATTTGTCTCGTATGGTCTTTATTCCTTTGACGTCTGTTTACTCTATTTCCACTTTGAGGAGAGATTTTATCATAAATGGGTGCTGGATTTTGTCAAATTCTTTTTCTGCATCTACTGATATGATAATATGATTTTTATTTTTCATTTTATTTTACTGGTGTATAACATTAATTTATTTTCAGATATTGAATGAACCTTGCAGAATAATCTTATTTGATCATGGTGTGTGATTTTTTTCATGAATATTTTGCAAATATTTTGGTAAGGATTTTTGCATCTGTGTTCATTAGGAATATTGGCCTAATACTGTGTTTTTTTTGTTTTTTTTTTGCTTATTTGTTTTGTTTTATTTTTGTAATATCTTAATTTGTTTTTAGAATCAGGATAATGATAGCCTTTTAAAATAAACTGGGAGTCATTCTTCTTCTTGAACTATTTGTAATAGTTTGAGAAGGAGGATATGTTAATTCTTCTTTGAATGTTGGTAAAATTAACTGGTAAACCTATAATCCAGTCTCCCTAAAATTGTGCTGTGTTTGAGCTAATCAAGTTATTCTCTGTTGTGGTCTGAAGCCAGCCACTGGGTATGTTGGTTCTGAGACCTCTTGGGAGGGACTCCATTGCAAGTCAATGTCAGACATTGCCTGTGACTGGCCCTGGGTTACCAGATAGAAGCTTCAAAATGATCCATGGTTGGTAGCTGCCTATGCTGGGCCTGGGTGCACATGGGAAAGGCTAAGCTGCATACTGAGGCTTGGTGCCACCTTCACCAGAATTGGGGAAAGTTAGCAAAGGCACAAGGCAGCCTGAAACCCACCACTGCCTGTCAGCTGCTCATTAGGCTCAGCCACGGAAAGAGCATTAGGCAGTACTCAAATTGTGTAATGCAGTTTCCCAGGGAGTCACCAGGTAGGGGAAAGTGGTGTTCATCAGGTTAATAGAGATGCAAATTCATCAAAAGTCTCAAGGTCAGTCATTGCCTTCCTGGGGCCTGCAGACCGTTGTGGTGGGATAGAGTCTCAGGGAATCATCAGGGTGGAACTACTAGAGTTTGTCAAGCTAAAGAAGAGTAAGATTTGTCTGTGTGGAGGGAGGGCTCAGTACAGGAACATTGGCTCTCATTGGACATGTGGGAAGATGGCCTTCACCCCAAAGCCACATAATTCAGTCTCTCTGTGTGTATCGCAGGCACCTCCTGGGTCTGCCCAGAATTCCCCCAAGAGTGTCAGGAAAAACTTTGACATGAGTTCAGGCTGGCCTCTGCTCGCAGAGCCCACAGCCATGCATGAGTCGGGTGGTCAAGGCCTCAGGGAGTCATTTGGGTGAAGCTAATGCAGCCCCCTAGGTCAAAACCATATGAAAGTAGTACTTGATCCAGGAAAACAGTGTTCCTTGGTGGTGTGGGAGAGTGACTCAATATAAGGACATTAACATTGTCCCTCAAACCCTCTCTAAAACCACACAACTCAGTCTCTTCCTGTGTGACTTTAGGCTGCTGTCCCTCCCTTAGAGCCCAGGGTGAGTACCTGCAAGAATGATTTTTGTGTGTTGGCCTTTTAAGTGAGTGCCTGGGTTTCCAGCAGCCTTCTGTCTTCCTTAGGTGGATGGAACCCCTGCTGATTTTTACAGCCAGATACAATGTGGGCTCCAGTTTTCAGTACTGGTACCTTGGGCTGGGGAGCCCAGCATAAGGTGGACACCCCGCCCCCCTTCTCAGAGGGAACCTTTGCAGCTGAGATGTCCCTCTGGATTTTTAACCATCACACCTGGGTATGAGGGCCAGCTTGTTTCACAGCTCTGCTTCTTCTACCTCAATGTGGTTTTTTCTGCACATCCTTAGTTATAAGACGTCTAGTCAGTTAGGCTTCAGATGGTTATCCAGGTTGATTTTTTTTTTTGTAATTTAGTTGCAATTTTGATGTGGTCATGGGAAATGGTGAATGTACCTTCCATCTACTCTGTGTTCTTGGCCCCAGGATCCTAGCTTGGTTTTCCTTAGACCTTATTCCTATAAAAACAATGATAAAATATTGGCTACGATTATAAATACATTTTACATAAGAGCACAAGTAATTTGCTTAATATTCTAGTTCTTGATTAATATCCAAATATGATTGGGAAGAGAAGAAGAGAATTTGAGATATTATTACTCTGAGGGCAAGTGAATTTTTTAGAGAAGTAACATGCTTCATTATCAAATACGCTGTGTGCCAATTCCCCCTTTTCTTTGCTTAGTCTTCATTTCACCACATTATTGTCTGAGGAGATTAACTTCAGAGTGCTTAGTATAGCACAACACTCAAAATGCTCATTGGGTTCATGATGATATTTAAGCAGAAAGCATTCACATAAGTGAATTTCAGGGCAACACAATTTGTAGGAGGTCTGTGACAAGGACAGGGTAAGAGAAGTTCTTGTGCACTATGTTCATACACAGATGTTCCACCACTAAGAAGCTCAGTTTGATTCTGGCTCCATGTTTGTTTGCTTTTTGTTTGGATTTGTCTTTTTGTTTGTTTATGCTTTTAATACCTAGTGGACAAAATGCACCATCATTAAAATAACTATCTTTGGTTTTTAAAAAACTTACCAAAGTCAAAGTTCTAACATCAAATGTCATATTTCTTGATTTCAGAAGCTTATTTCTTCAATTCTTGCAACTTATTATTTACATTCTTTTTCAGAAGTGAAAATTATAATGCTCCTCCCATAAGATGGTTTGCTTCTCTTGGCTATCAGCTTGTGTCTATGCTTAGGGACTTAGTTGAACCCTCTCCTACTTGTGTCTTTTCCAAGAACTAAAGAAGGAGTGGGGATCTGCTCTCTCTTCAGGACTGGTGGAAGGTGGGAGCTGAGGATCACCAGGGTTTTGTGCCAGCTGTCTATGTCAGGAAACTGGCCCATGATGAGCGTCCTGTGCTCCCACAATGGTGGCAAAAAGAACCAGACAACATCATGCAGCGCCAGGAACAGATTGAGAAACAGTAAGTTCTGGCGGTTGGACGGGTATTTGGCCAAACATTTCCTATTGGTCAAAGGCTCTTCTTATGACTGCATAAGAGCTAAAATTAAACTTAGTGTCTTTCAAATACTTCATTTTTAAAATGAAGACAGAGAACCCCAGTACCATTAAGTCAATTGACTGACGTTAGACACTTAATAGAGTGATGTCTTCTAACTCCCTGCCTAGCATTCTTTCAAGGCTATAAAAAAGGTCTTCTGACTTCCATATGAATTTTATTTACTCTGCCAGGTGGTTTAATACCCAGTTGTCAACAGGAATGTCAAAATTTTACTTCTAGCCCTGGCTGGTTTTCCTCAGTGGTTAGAGCATCAGTCCAAACACTGAAGGGTCTTGGGTTTAATTCCTGGTCAAGGACATGTACTTGGGTTGCAGGTTTGATCCCTAGCCCTGGTTGGGATCACACAGGAGGCAATCGATTCGTTTCTCTCACACTAATCTCTCTCTCTCCCTCCCTCCCTCCCTTCCTCCCTTCCTTCCACTCTATTTAAAATAATCAATGAAAAAATATCTTCTGGTGAGGATTAACAAAAAAAAATAAAATAAAATAATTCACTTCTATAAGATGTTGCCAGTCACACTATTGGAACACTGACATTTTCATTATTTTTAAATGGAACACCGTGTGTTTGTTTCTCTGTTCTCAATGCTATTTTCCTTCTATCTGTGTTTCCTTTCTACTGTTTTTCTTTTGATTTTCTCTCTCTTATCTGTCCCTTTCATTCTCTCCCTCTTTCACCCTGCCTATACTCTTCTGTGTTTCTCCAATTTATATTTCACCTTTTTCATTATATTCATTTGTGCACCCAGGTATCAATCTCTCCTTGCTCGGGCAGAAGAACGCAGACGTCGTTTATTGCAACGTTACAATGAGTTTTTTCTGGCCTATGAGGCAAATGACATGCTGGACTGGATCCAAGAGAAAAAGACAGAAAACACTGGCATCGAACTAGATGATGTTTGGGAGCTTCAGAAAAAGTTTGATGAGTTCCAAACGGTGAGGAAGAAGAACCATTTCTTCCAGACAGTTTTTTGAGGTTTATTATTGTTTCTTTTCAATCCATATCTCCTCCTAAGTCATTCTTTAATGTCACATTTGATCACTGTCTTCCCCAAAGCTACTGAGAGTTCTGTATTTTAAATCTTTCTCTGGGTATTGTAGGTGCAAAGAAAAGGCAGAGAAAAGTAGTCACCCCAACTCTCCAGCCTGCAGTTCCTGCTATTCCCAAGTCCTACAGAGAGTGGTGATCTCTCTGAATTCTTCAAAACTCGCTCTATACTGTTCTGTGTTCCTGATGCCTAGACTGAGCTGAGGTGTTGTGAGACTCTGTGTACAGTCTAATTATGGGGCAGTACTGTAGTGGGTGGGATGATGGGAGGAGCAACCTGACTTTAAAGCTAGATAATTTCTAACTTCCTCCTACTTAAAACCCTTTTATTCTCCTTTATTCTTTCAGGCTCATTTTATTGTTTTAACTATTGAAACCCCTTTCTTCCTTTCTTTTTTATGATGCATTCCAGTGGCATTCATGGTGATAGTTGATAGAGAGATAGCTATAGAGATTATATTTTATTTTTTTAGGAATATGTAAGGAGAAAGGGAAAAGACAGGGAAACAAGAATCAAATTATTAAATAACACCAAGAATGAGACTTCTATAGGAAAATTCCTTGAAAGGCTATTGTGTAATGTAGTGAACAATATCATCACTGTAGACATTGTGTGAGCTCCCTAGAGTTGTTTCTTATGATGCACCTTAATTTAAGCAGATTGCAACTCAGTTAATAAAATTCTATAGAATGTGGAGCAGTTTGTGTTGGCAGAAAAGAATATTATGTGGCCAGATATAGATCCCCTTGATAGTGTTAGTTAATCTAGGGAGAAATTTTTAAGAAAGGTAGAAGAAAGAAATACATCTAATTTCCTACTAATACTTATATGGATTCAGTTTACATTTAGATTCTGATCATTTGGAATTTATTATTGAATATAATGTGAGGTATAGCTCCATCTTATCTTTTTCCCAAATGATTAACCAATTTTTACAGCATCATGTACTGAAAGCCCATTTTTACCCTAGTGATATGAGTTTATACATTTATCATATAGCAAAGTTCCATATGTATTTGAAATTATTTCTGTAAATTATTTGTTTTTTCTAGTATAGACTGGATAAACTATGGTAGCCTGCCTATTCATTGGTTAACACCACACTGTTCTAATTACAGAATTTTTATATTACATTTTTAATATCTTGTAGAGAAAGGCTTTCTAACTATGTCTCAAAATTCGGATGCACTGAATGCATTAAAAGGAAACATTGATAAACTTTAGCATGGCAAATATTACCATAAACAAAATCATAATACAATCAACAAACTGGGAGAAAATATTTACAAGATATATATTAGGTAAAGGGCCAAATGCCAACATATAAGTACCTTAAAAATTGAGGAAGAAAAGAAAAACTATCAAAAGATAAGCACGGTCAATTAAAAAATTATATAGAAAAATGAAAAAAAAAAATTAGAAAAATAACTGTGCTCCATACTTCAGATAAATAGCAACTCCCCTACCAAGTTTTTGATAGTCATGAGATGTCAGGGGAATTAAAGGTACTCTAGTAAGTACAGTTTGGAAGAGGGCAGCTCATATTGTATTGAAAGTAAGGTTAACAGTATGTTTTAATATTTAGCCAAGTCAGAGCAGAGATGAGCAGACAAGTATGAAAGATTCGTAAGAAGGGTAATTACACTGCTTTGCATACATTTTCCCACCTAGGATTTGAAGACCAATGAGCCTCGACTGAGGGACATCAACAAGGTTGCTGATGATCTGCTATTTGAAGGGCTTCTAACACCAGAAGGAGCTCAAATTCAGCAGGTAACTAAGGCTGCTACCATTTCTTCTCACTACCAGGTTGAGCTTGGGGAATCATCATTTAACTTAAATATACTTAACTTCATATCCACAGATCAACTAGGACATGCAGAAGGTAATGACAGTATAAAGCCGGCCATAGGAGAGGTCAAAGACAATAATCCAAACAGTTCAGCCATTTGAACTGGTCTGAAGTCCATAAATTGCAACATATACTCACCTTTCCCCTATCACTACAGACACAGAAATTCAGTGCTCAATACACAAATACAAAAAAAAAAAAAAAAAATGCAGATAAAGTAGTGATGATAGTGGAAAGAATAAATCAAGAAAACTTATTGGAAGAGATAGATCCTAATAAAATCTGATGAAAGAAGGAAAAGAATATTGGTCAGTAGAGATGGGGAATGGGTTCATAAAATATCTAATGAACATGAGTGGAATATCTAGTCCAGCTCTCTGGGTTGTAATAAACTAGTGAGGATGAGTACTCTTCTGCTCTTTGTGGTGTTTGATGTAAAATAAAAGGGAAAAGAAATGTTCAGAGGAACAATTTACTTACCCTGGACAGAAAGTAGAACCCTAAGAGTCTACTTTGTTTCATTAATGCAGAATGAAGAAAGGTACTATATTTCTCCTAGAAAAATGTAACAGCTTCTAATTACTAAGGCAATGCTTTCTACTCATTTTTCAGAGGATGTAATATAGTCTCTGTGGCAGCAAACATCGATTGCCACTCCAGGGTTGATGATTTCACCCTGAAACATCACTTTTGGAAGGAAAAGAATCCCTTTCTTCACTGCACTGGCATAAATGAGGCCCCAACTCAAGAATCCAACAAAGACATGAACCTATCCAATTTCTGAAGGAGATAACATGAAAACAACCATGATTTAAACCCTATTTAGTCTTCAGACTCCACTGAGCTATCTGAGTCAGCTCCCTAGTGAAAGTCTGATATGTCTATCTCTTTTAGGAATTGAATACCCGCTGGGGCTCTTTGCAGAAGCTTGCAGAGGAACAGAACCAACTGCTGAAGAGTGCTCATGCTGTCCAAATGTTTCACAGGTGAGAATTTCAGCCCTAAAAAGCACTGCTGTTCTAATAGCCACTCAAAACCCCCAAGCCTAATTATTATCATAGAACCATAGGCATTAGTATAACTCTTCTTCTTAACGTAGAAATAATAAAAGATCAGGTGTTTCAGTAATATATTCCTCACTTGGCACATAGGATACTTCCAGACAACCAATTTCAATTTTCTAGTTACCTAGGCTTGGGCCTTGGCACATAATAGCAGTCCATGTATGTTGTCACGACAGTGAATAAAACTTAAAGTAGAAACGAGGTTTAAGTGACTACATTTTTTAACTAGGTGTAGATGATAGAAAACAACGGGTATCACAGTGACTTTAACTGTTACTTCAACAATTTATTTATGATTTCCAGTTCTGTGTCTACACTAAGAAACACACCTACGAAACTAAGTAAGCAAACAAACCAGTGGAAAACCAAGCACCTTCACTGTGTATAAATGTGTTTTTGAATATCCAGTAAAAGGGAACAATGAAATGCCGATGGTTGTACTTGTTTAGGATGGCTTAAGGTGGAATGCTATAAAATGTCATCGTTAAGCATGTAGCTCTGCAGTCTGGCCACGTGGATCACGCTGTCATTTAGCAGTGGTGTAACTTTGAAAAAATATACTTAGCATCTTTAAAATTCAGTTGTCTTGTAAATAAAATAGTAGTACTAGTAACTCTGCTTCAAGTAGTTGTTGTGAAGATGAAATGACTTGAAGTTCTGGCACATTAAAAAGAACGATGGCGGTGATGATGATGATGTGGTGGGAGTGATGACTTCCTGGTGAGTCCAGCTAGTCTTCCTCTGGTACACATTATTCCTTCTAAACTCTTTACTTTCATGAAAAGAGAAGCAGATGACATAAAGGAGCAGATTGAGAAGAAGTGCCAGGCCCTCAGTGCAGCTGATCCTGGCTCAGACCTGTTCAGTGTTCAGGCACTTCAGCGAAAGCATGAGGGTTTTGAGAGAGACCTCAGACCCCTGGGAGAAAAGGTGAGACATGAGCTTCCAAGTTTTTCTAATACTTTTCTCTTTATGTTTATACTTATAAATACCCTCATCTGTGGTTTTATTTCCCAGTCCATATTCTTACACTTATCTTTCTATTACTCCATGCTTGTTCTTGTGTCCTGCCCCTGAAGCAAGACCACTGAAAGGACATGCCCCAGGACAATTAGCATGGAGGGAAAATATATTGTAAATGAACCTCCTGTCCAAGTGCTTATTAATGGGTTCCAAGTGAGCAGAACTTACAGAAGCTAGTTGGAAGCCAGCAGCCTAAGATAAGTAGGAAATGGTCATAGCTCAGATGACCAGGCTTATGCCTGAGCATGGTGCAGCATTTCCTTCACAAGTAATTGAATGACCTTTATCCTATTCTAACTGAAAAGTGAACCCTGGGGCTTGCCAGATATACTCTGGGATAAATCAAAGTCATCATACAGCATGCAATTATCATGCAGAGCAAAAGGAAGCACAGAAATATCTAAATTGGGAAGATCTTCACAATAAAAATCAGGATTCTTGGGTTCCCTAATGATGCTACCACTGATCAACATTTACTTAAGCGCCCTCCCTGACAACCTTCTTATCTTAAAAAGAAGCATGGTCATGTCGATGTTGACTACTTCAGAGAGGTATCATGTGTACCAATCGAGTTGCCATTTTAGTTAAGAAAATAGCAAGATATTCTGTACCTTACTGATGTCTCTTTGAGGAGTGAGCATGCTGGGCTCACTCCTCTGGATTTGCGGACTCTGGATTTTTCTTTTGCTAGGATCTAGGTGTGACTCTAGGATGATTATCAGAGTTATTGTACCTACTCAGGTGTCCATGTTGGGAGAGACAGCAGAGCGGCTCAGTGAGTCCCACCCAGATGCCACTGACGACCTGCAGAAGCAGCAAATGGAGATGAATGAGGCCTGGGATGACCTACTTAGGCGCACAAAGGACCGTAAGGAGAACCTAAATGAGACCGAGAAATTCTACCTGTTTCTCAGCAATGCCAGGTAAAGATCAAAAGGCCAGGTGGAGTGAGAAATTTCATGTCTGGACCCTGAGGAGAGCTTCTAGGAGCACTCTGGGCACAGGTGCTCTTCACTGCTGGGGTTGGAGGGTATCTCAGTGTCCAGAAAGTACATCTGAGAAGGCACAAAAATCTCAAGTTAAATACCTTAAGCTATAAAGTGTTGAAGTTTGAAGGAATATGAGGCCATCTAAGCAAATTAGATAAACTTTAATATAGTGTATACTATACATATATTTGTGTGCTATGTCAGGAGTTGTAGGATATGGATATTTTCATTGTACTGGGAAGGCACAGAAGAATATAGATAAATGTGAAAGAATATAATACAGCCCAAAACACTCATCTTAACAGATAGATGAAATTATATACAAATAAAGGCACAAGGATAAGAAAGGTGCACTATGTTCGTGAAATGAGCAAGGAAAGCTACAGCATGGGTTTTGTATCTTAGAGGGGTCAGGAAAAGAAGCAAGAAATAAGCTTAGAAACATTGGGATCAAATTCTAGAGAATTATTGTTGCCTTGCTGAAGAGTGTAGACTACAATTTAGTAAATATACACTTTGTCTGAGGAACAAGTCCCACATCCTTTTTCATCATAGCAGTCTACTTGAGGAGCACTTAGATGAGGGTCCAGGAAGCAGTAGCTCACAATGCAATACCTTTGAAGAAAAAAGGAGGGAACTTTGGGCAAATGAGTAAACTTACTCTTGACAATACCCACCCCAATTCAGCACCTCTGGAAAGCTATAGTGTGTTATTCAGTAAAAATAGATGATAGATGATTGATAGATACATGATAGATGATAGATGATAGATGATAGATAGATAGATAGATAGATAGATAGATAGATAGATAGATAGATAGATAATAGCTACCTAGAGGGATAGATAGATGATAGATAGATAGATAGATAGATAGATAGATAGATAGATAGATAGATAGATAGATGATAGATAGATGATAGATAGATGATGATAGATAGATGGATAGATGGATAGATAGATAATAGATAAATAGATTCTAACTGGACATCAGATTCGAAGTCAAATGTTATCCCTTTCTCTTTATGAAATCTTATTCTTTTTTTTTTCCAAATCTTTATTGTTGGATGTAAAATGTATTACAGATGTTCCACATTTTTCCCCCATTGACCCCCTCCTCCCCACTCCCACCCCCCCTCCCACCTTTTCCCACACTATTGTCTGTGTCCATTGGTTATGCATATAAGTTCTTTGGTTTATTTCTTCCCACTCCCCCCAACCCATTTCCCTTTGAGGTTTGTCAGTCTAGCAATGAATTTGTGCTTCTTAATCCCTTCACCTTTTTCACCCATTCCCCCAAACCCCCTCCCAACTGGCAACCAACAAAATGTTCTCTGTATCTATGAGAATGTTTCTGTTCTACCTGTTCATTTTGTTTGTAGATTCCATTGTTGATAGATATGTATTCATTGCCATTTTGTTTGTTCATACATTTTATCTTTTTCTTCAAGAAGACCCTTCATCATTTCATATAATAACGGTTTGGTAGTGATGAACTCCTTTAACTTTTTCTTGTCTGGGAAAGTTTTTATATGTCCATCGATTCTAAATGACAGTTTTGCAGGATAGAGTAATTTTGGTTGTAGGATAGAGTAATTTTGCAGGATAGAGTAATCTTGGTTTTCATCACTGTGAATATTTCTTGCCACTCCCTTCTGGCCTGCAAAGTTTCTTTTGAGAAATCAGCTGACAGCCTAATGGGAACTCCCTTGTAGGTAACTAGCTGCCTTTCTCTTGCTGCTTTTAAGATTCTCTCTTTGTCTTGAACCTTTTGCATTTTGATGATGATGTGTCTCAGTGTGGGCCTCTTGGGGTTCATCTTGTTTGGGACTCTCTGTGCTTCCTGGACTTGTATGTCTGTTTCCTTCACCAAGTTAGGAAAGTTTTCTGCCATTATCGTTTCAAACAGGTTTTTGAATTCTTGTTCTCTCTCTTCTCCTTCTGGCACCCCCAAGATGTGAATGTTGGCACGCTTGAAGTTGTCCCAGAGGCTCTTTACACTATCCTCATTTTTTTGGATTCTTTTTTCTTTTTGCTGTTCTGGTTGGGGATTTTTTGCTTCCTTATATTCCAAATCGATGGTTTGCTCCTTGGATTTACATACTCTATTATTGAAGCTGTGTAAATTATTCTTTATTTCAGTTAATGCCTCCTTCAATTCTAACTGTGTATCCATGATTTCTAACTGGTCCTTTTTTATGCTCTTGAGGCCCTCCCTAAGTTCACTGAGGTTCTCACTAAGTTCATTGAGCATCCTTATAAGCAGTATTTTGAACTCAGTATCTGTTAGGTTGCTTATCTCCATTTCGCTTAGTTCTTTTATTGGGGTTTTGTTCTGTTCTTTCATTTGGGACCTGTTTCTTTGTCTCCTCATTTTGGCTGCCTCCCTGTGTTTGTTTCAGTGTATTACTTAATGAGAGGTATGGTGCTCGCTGAGACCAGATGCTGCTTGTTTGAAAGAATTTAGGAAAAACCTGAAGCAGGATCCAAGACCTGCCAATCCTATGGTTAAGCAAGTGGCAACAGCTTGGGTGGGCTTAAAAGTTGGGTGGGGCGGGGCCTCAGGGAGTCAGCAGGGCGGGGCTACCAGTGTGAGCCAGGTTGCTGGAGTCCCAGATATGAGGGCTATCTGCCGCCCCCGGGAAGGGCTCACCAAAGGAACAAAGACCTCTTATAGCACGTTTGTCCCCGAGAAAGCCCCCTTTCCAGCCCTCGCTCCAGTGCCAAACAGCTCAGTTCTTCCCTGTATGTCTCTGGTGCCCCTTGAGCTGCCTCCCCTCCGAGCTTAGAGGGAGAGAGTCCGATAAGTCCGTGCGCAGGCCCTTTAGGGAGCTGCCTGGGCTCCAGCCAGGTCAACTTCCCTGAGCCTCAGTTCCTGCTGGTTTTTTCAGCCAGAAGTTATGGGGACTTCTCTTCCTGGCACTGGAACCCTGAGTGGGGCACCTGGTGTGGGACGGGGACCCCTCAGTCCTCAGGAAGGACCTTCCCAGCCGCGGGAGCCTCCTGATTTTATCCGCCACACTTGGGTGTGAGACCAGCCCGCGCCGCCGCCTCCGCAGCCCCTCACGCCGCCGCCCCTCCTACCAGTCTGGATGTGGCTGCTGCTTTAATTCCATAGTTGTAGAACTTCCATTCAGCTTGATTTCAGGCGGTTTTGAATGATGGTTGTTCTGTAGTTTAGTTGTAACTTTGATGTGGTTGTGGGAGGACGCGATACCGCGTTTACCTATGCCGCCATCTTGACCGGAAGTTGAAATCTTCTCCTTCAGTGTTGTGGAAGTAGCATTCCCAGCTTTAGAGCAAGTCTAATATCTTATTTTACCTCTTTATGACACTTTTAAAGTTGTTTATTTTTTTAATGGTGAGCTCCTAGAATGCACAAATATTTCTCTTTCACAATAGTGGGTACTTAGTAAGCACCCAACAAAATGTAATTGTTTGAATAAATGAAAAGAAGAGACTGTTTTTTTCTAGATGTGCCTTCCTTGAGATTCCATAATAAGATAGATTTTTAAAAGGAACATGAATCCTTAGGAATAATGAACATGTACTGTTCCAGGACTCCAATGTCTGGATTGCAGTCTAAATGTCTCCTCTTAGTGATATAACATGGGAAAATCACTTATTATTCTCTAAGCTGACTTCCTCATCTTCAAAATGAAACCAAAAGAATTCCCAGAAGTCTATACAAGATCATTGCAAAATTGAAGAAGGTAATATATGTGAAGAGATTTTTCAAATGCAAGGGATTGCTATTATTAAGTCATGTAGTGAAAACAACACACCTAAGATCTGTGACTCATGTAAAGCCAGATAGAAGGTATTAATCTGTAAACATTTTCTAGAGAGAGAGAAAAAAAAGACAGACAGCCCTATAGAAAATTGCAAGGTTTTCTTGTCAATCCCAATATGTCTTTTCCTCTAGGGACCTACAGAATTGGATCAGTGGCATTGATGGCATGGTATCATCAGAGGAGATGGCTGAGGACTTAACTGGTACTGAGATATTGATGGAACGACACCAGGTATGGCTACAAAAGCCATAGTTTCTGGTCACATGACTTTGGTGAGATGTCATTGGCCTTTAGTTTCTTTCCCTTTTTCCCCACAGGAACATCATGCTGACATGGAGGCTGAGGCTCCCACCTTCCAGGCCTTAGAAGACTTTGGTGTAGAACTTATAGACAGTGGACACCGAGACAGCCCTGCAATTGAAGAAAAGCTTCAAGCTGTCAGACGAGGGAGAGATGATTTGGAGAAAGCTTGGGAGCAACGCATGAAGATGCTAAATCAGTGCCTAAAGTTTCAGGTATAGCATATCTACAGTCATTGAGCAGTATTAGCCTCTGACAATTCCCTCTTTGCAATGTTACATGGTTAAGTATGTGTGTTCATTTCACTGGTCTTCCCATGCCGTAAGCACAAGGGCATCTCTTGATTATCTGACGTTGTGTTTTCTGCTTTGTAGACTGATCATTGTTGTATTCTTTGCCCTAATCCCTGTTAAAAAGTCAAACAAAATGGGGAGGGGGGTGTCATTTCTTGGCATGAAGTGGGGTGATTATAATGTACTTATTAATTGAAGTTGTGTTGATTGATTTTTGTTGAGAACCTACTTTTATGTGCAGAGCTCTGGCAACACAAAGATGAGTAAGATAGTGTCCCTTTTCTTATGTGGTGAAATTAGACATGTAGACAGATCATTCTAGTACAGTAAAATGATTATTAATGAAACAAAATGTATGAATGTTTTGAGACTAAAGAAGAGAAAGTGATTAACACTTTTGAGGGAAGAGTGGGAGTGTTACAGGCTACCCTAAAAAGAGAATGTTTAATGGTATTTTTTAAATTAATTTTCGTTATTGTTTTTAGAAAGAGAAGAAGAGAGAGAGGGAGAGAGAGAGAGAAACATCAATGAGAGAGAACATTGATTGGCCACCTCCTGCATGCCCCTCACAGGGGATTGGGCCCACAACCTGGGCATGTGCCCTGATGGGGAATTGAACCAGCAGCCTCTTGGTGCATGGGTCAATGCTCAACCACTGAGCCACACCAGCTGGGCTGAGAATGTTTACCTGTCTTAAATAACCAGCCAGTATTCACCAGGGGGAGGATATGGAAACTGGGACCTCAAGAATGGAGTCTAGCTCATATAAAAACATAAAATATGTTTACAGGGAACTATAAAAAATTCAGTACACCATTTGTGTGAGATATGTTCCAAGACCCCCAGTGGATACCTGAAACCACAGATAGTACTGAACCCTACCTATGCAATGTTTTTTTCCTGTACATACATACCTATGGTGAAGTTTAATGTATAAATTAGGCTCAGTAACAGATTAACAATAAGTAATAATAAAATACAACACTTATAACAATATACTGTAATAAAAGTTATATGAGTGGCTTTGGGGACATTATTAAGTAAAATTAGGGCTACTTGAACACAATCACATCGATACAACAACAGTCAGTCTAATAACTAGACAGCAAAGTGACTAAAAATTGGAGAGTGTATAATATGGTGGATACACCAGACAAAGGGATGATTCACTCCCCAGGTGTAACAGAGCAAGGTGGCTGGAGATTTTATCACTCTACTTAGAAAGGTGCATTATTTAAAACCTATGGATTGTTTATTTCTGAAAGTTCCATGTGATATTCTCTGGACATGGTTGACCTTGGGCAACTGAAACTGCAGAAAATAAAACTGTGGATGAGAGAGGACTAATGTCCCATATACCTCTAACTTGACTTCCCATAGTTATTCCAAGGCCAATGTGATCAGGCTGAGAGCTGGATGGTGGCACGTGAGAATTCCCTGAGGTCAGATGATGAGGGTTCCTTAGACAGCCTGGAGGCCTTGATGAAGAAACGTGATGATTTGGAAAAAGCAATCACTGCGCAGGTAATAACAACTAATATAAAAGTTCAAAAAATAACTATTAGTAATAATAACAGAAATTCTACATATGTATGTGGTTTTATTATTTAAAAGTATTCCCATTTTCTTCTTCCAGGAAACTCTGAGGTAGTCAGGGTACCTTGATATTTCAGCTTCATCCAACTCAAGTCACACATGGTATTGGACTTTCTTACTTTAAGTCCAACCTTTAAAAACATAAATTTTAGAATTGGAATTTTTTGGGGGGTTTTGGTGCTATTTCAATAACCCACCCAATGCAGAAATTACCCTCTACAATGGCCATGGGAAGTGTCAAAGAAAGGGATTTGGTAGCACATCTAAGTATCATTATTAATGTTTCTCTTCTTGCTGATTTAAAATACACCTCCCTGTAAGGTATTTACCCTTTCATTCTGGTTTTGTTTTTCTTCATGAAGTCACAGAGGATATTTTTGTTCTTTTCTAGGAGAGAGTCTGGGGTGTACCAGGGCCTCGTCTCCACACATCAGCATGCTCTCTCTCTCTCTCTCCCCGCTAGGAAAAGAAGATCACTGAACTAGAAAATTTTGCTGAGCAGCTCATAGCTGATGACCACTATGCCAAGGAAGAGATTGCTACTCAGCTCCAGCGGGTGCTAGACAGGTCGGGCCTGAGCAATTCTTATTTCTAGATGCCTAAAACTATCTTGACACTTTGGGAAACTTTGTGATCTAGACTCACAGCGAGAAAGACATAGAAGTCACATTAGAAATTACTTGACTTGCCCTGGCCGGTTTGGCTCAATGGTTGGGGCGTCGGCCTGCAGACCAGAGCATTCCAGGTTCGGTTCCCACTAGGGGCACGTACCAAAAAAAAGGAAATTACCTGACTTAACCACTGTACTTTATATCTAGAAATAGTGAGACTATGCTAGATGTACCATATAAATATTGTATATATAATAATATAATATATAATAATATGATATATAACGAAATAATTTATAACTCTGTTATACGTAACTCATAAATACATAATTTATGAGAGGGGAAGGGGCAGGTTGGCAAATGGGAAGAGTCATGGATATGCCATTAGAGCTTGAGGGAAGGATAGAGGGCAGAAAGTGATCTACTCTCCTCTTCCAGATGGAAGGCTCTCAAAGCACTATTGATTGCCGAGCAGACAAAATTGGGAAACTGTGCCGACTTAAAACAATTCTACCGTGACCTCGAGGACCTGGAAGAGTGGATCAGTGAGATGCTGCCCACAGCCTGTGATGAGTGCTACAAAGACCCTACCAACATTCAGGCAAGCTCAAAAAATGAATCTTGGGAAAATTCAGCATACCAAGATTGCTAGATAAATGGTCATCTCTCTACTGAACACGTTCTTACTGGTATGATCACTACGGCTGCCTCAGAAACTTCTGAGTCTACTGTGGAGTGGGTTCTTCAGAAGCCATCATCACTTTGGTGATGATAAAAATATTAACTCTTCTTTTTAAACAGAAGTTACCTTTTCTTGCTTTCCTAAGTGAGAAGGTAACTTACTTTTGTCTTTTCCTCCAGAGGAAATATCTGAAGCACCAGACCTTTGAAAATGAGGTTTCTGGCCGAGCTGAACAAGTAGAAGGAGTTATCAACTTGGGGAACTCTCTGATTGAGCAAAAGGCATGTGATGGCAAAGAAGAGACTGTGAAGGTAGGAGATCTGATCAGCGTGGGTTTGGGGCTACAAAGTCATACAAAGATCTTTTTTTTTAATTTGTTAATCCTCACCCAAGGGTATTTTTCCACTGATTTTTTTTTTTTTTTTTTTTTTAGATAGAGTGGAAGGGAGAGAGAAAGAAACATCAATTGGTTACCTACCACACAAACCCAAGTGGGGCCAGGAATCAAACCTGCAACCCAGGTACAAGCCCTTGACCAGGAATAGAACCTGCAACCCTTTAGTCTGAGGGCCAATGCTCTAACAGCTGAGCCAAACTGGCCAAGGCAGGGTTTTTTTAATTCTTTTGTTGTTTCCATATGTAGGAATAAAGCATATGTTCTCTGATAAGTAGTCTTCTCTGATTGCTGCACAAGGAAGGAGAAAAATAGTGATGCTCAGACCTTATTGCTCCTGTCACACTTAGTACCTAAAACTTCAAGAATGCCTTCGACTAAATTCCTAAGCATCATCATACTTGGTTTATATTTTCTATCCTTACTGCCAAGAGTCTTTGGCATTTAGGCACTGGCCACGGCAAGCAGCCCAGCAGCACCATCTCTTCAAACTTTCTTCTAATACCTCCTATTATTTTCCCAGGTTAAACATACTGGTTTAAAACATGTGATACTAAAGCACTGGACATTTTTTTTCACAGCCTTCCTATATTATCCTTTCCAGTTGTTACAAGACCCAGGATTCTAAGGATCAAAATGACCTCTCAATTTCTTCGGGCTAGGGTCAAGTGGAAGAGCTGGAGAAACACTGGGACTACCTGCTCGAGATGACGACCGACAGAGGGCAGAAGCTCAACGAGGCTAGTCGCCAACAGAGGTTCAACACAGGCATCCGGGATTTTGAGTTCTGGCTCTCAGAGGTAATTGCACCTGGAAGTGGTGTGAGTGGGGGAGCTTGATAAATACTCATCAGATTATCAGATTTATGCATGAATGATCTCCTTGACTCTTGGGAAAAGTTTGGCGACACCATTGCTAATCTGGTTCTTCTTCAATGTAGTTTTAATCTGGCAGCTTTATTATTTATTCTTCTGTCCCCAGGCAGAGACACTGCTGGCCATGAAAGATCAGGCCAGGGACTTGGCTTCTGCAGGAAACCTGCTCAAGAAGCATCAGCTATTGGAAAAAGAGATGTTGGCCCGAAAGGTAAGTAGTGTTGGAATCCCATTCCTCTGGAATTTCTACTCCAAGAAAGGAAATGTTTCCTGTTTGGGGAGATCATTTGAGAATACTGTCTTACAAAACTGACCTTAATGTTCTCAGGCAGCAGTCATTATAACCAGGTCAAATCCATGGGTTACAGAGAGGTTGTTACAGTCACTTTTTTTTTTGTTATCTTTTTTTCCCTTTATTGTTGACACTGTTACAGATGTCCCCCATTTCCCCCTTTTGTTCCTCTCCACCTACCCCCTACCCCTAGACCTTTGCCACATTATTGTCAGCGTCCATGGGTTATGCATATATGCATACATGTTCTTTGGTTAATTTCTTCCAGTCCCCACCACTGCCCTCCCCACTGAGATCTGTCAGTCTATTCCATGTATCCATGCCTCTAGTACTGTTTTGTTTGTCCATTTATTTTGTTCAACAGATTCCACATATAAGTGAGATCATATGATATTTGTCTTTGACTAATTTTCCTTACCATAATAATCTCCAGGTCCACCCATGCTGTTGCAAAGGGTAAGAGTTCCTTCTTTTTGACAGCCATTCCATTGTGTAAATGTACCACATTATTTTTATCCACTCATCTACTGATGGGCACTGGGCTGTTTCCAGATCTTGGCTGTTGTAAATAATGCTGCTATGAACATATGGGAGCATATATTCTTTCTGATTGTTGTTTCAGAATTCTTAGGATGTATTCCTAAAAGTGGGATCACTGGGTCAAACAACAGTTCCATTTTTAATTTTTTGAGGAAACTTCATACTGTTTTGGACAATGGCTGCACCAGTCTGTATTCCGACGAGCAGTGCACTAGGGTTCCCTTTTCTCTACATCCTCGCCAGCCCTTATTGTTGTTGATTCATTGATGGTAGCCATTCTGGCAGATGTGAGGCGGTACCTCATTGTAGTTTAATTTCTATCTCTCTGATGATTGTAATGTTGAGCATTTTTCATATGTCTGTTGGCCCTCTGTATTGTCTTCTTTGGAGAAGTGTCTAGTCAGATTATTTGCCCAATTTTTAGTTGAATTATTGATTCTAGATCACCAACTTACATCATATACAAGAATAAACTCAAAATGGATAAAAGAGTTAAATGTAAATAGGGAAACCATAAAAATCCTAGAAGAAAAGATAGGCAGGCCCAGCCAGTGTGGTTCAGTGGGTTGAGTGTCGTCTCATGGACTGAGAGGTCCCATTTGATTCCCAGTCAGGGCACATGCCCAGATTGCGGGCTCAGTCCCTAGTAGGGGGCATGCAGGAGGCAGCTAATTGATGTATCACTCACATCCATGTTTCTATCTCTCTCTTCCTTCCTCTCACTCTAAAAAATCAATAAAAACATACTAAAAAAAGGAAAACATAGGTAGTAAAATTTCAGACATCTCACGTAGCAATATTTTTGTCGGTACATCTCATAGGGCAAGGAAAGCAAAGAGAAAATAAACAAATGGGACTACATCAACTAAAAAGCTTCTGCACAGCAAAAGAAATCATCAACAAAATGAAAAAGGAACCCACTGTATGGGAGAATGTATTCGCCAATGATATATCTGATAAAGGTTACTATCTAAACATATAGAGAGAACTTATGCAACAGTCACTTTTAGCCGATGACCATTAAACTGTAGATTCTAAGACCCCAGGAAGTGGATCCTAAAAGCTATCTTGTTTATTTTTTTAACTGATTCATGCATATAAACTCACTATCATTCCAAGCTACATATTTGATCTGGTCTTGAAAGAAAATGGAAGTTTATTTATAGAATGAAAGAAAAAACAATAAAATGAGATGGTGACATATGCAATGAAGTTAAACTGTACACTGGAAAGTCAATGGAGAATTCCAGTAGCAGAGATTTGTCCTAGTAGAAGTGATAAACATGCAGGCAGATGTTAATTTCATACAGGAGAATTTTTTATTATAATTTTATTTGGTAATATAAATACCTCCAGAAAAGACAGGAAGCCAAAAGCTTTTTTTTTTTTTTTTTTTTTATTGAATTTATTGGAATGACATTGGTTAATAAAATTATTTAGGTTTCAGGTGTACAATTCTATAATATATCATCTATATACTGAATTGTGTGTTTATCACCCCAAGTCAAGTCTTCTTTCATCACCATTTATTCCCCCTTTACCCTCATCTTCCTCCCCTAGCCTCCCTTTCCATTTGGTAATCAGCATACTGTTGTCTGTGTCTATGAGGGTGGTTTGTTTGTTTGTTTGTTTGTTTAATCTCTTTACCTTTTTTACCCAGCCCCACAACCCCTCTCTCCTCTGATAGCTGTCAGTTTGTTCTCTGTATCTATGGGTCTGTTTCTTTTGTGTTTGTTAGTATATATTGTTCATTTGATTCCACATATATGTGAAATCATATGGTACTTGTCTTTCTCTGACTGGTTTATTTCATAATACTCTCCAGGTCCATTCATCCTGTTGCAATAGGTGAGATTTCCTTGTTTCTTATGGCCAAGTGTAAATGTACCACAGCTTTTTTATCCACTCATCTACTAATGGGGATGTGGGCTGCTTCCAAATCTTGGCTATTGTAAATAATGCTGCAATGAACATAGGGGTGCATATATATTTTCCAATTAGTTTCGAGTTTCTTCGGATATAGTCCCAGAAGTGGAATTGCTGGGTCCATAAGGCAGTTTCATTTTTAATTTTTTGAAGTAACTCCACACTGCTTTTCAAAGTGGCTGCACCAGTCTTCATCCCCCACTGACAGTGCACAAGGATTCCTTTTTCTCCTCATCCTCACTGACACTTATTTGTTATTTATTGATGAAAACCTTTTTGACAGGTGTGAGGTGGTATCTCATTGTGGTTTTATTTGGCATTTTTCTGATGATTTGTGATGTTGAGCATCTTTTTATATGTCTATTGGTTATTTGTATGTCCTCTTTGGAGAAGTGTTTATTCAGGTCCTTTGCCCATTTTTAAATTGGAGTGTTTGTGCCCAGATGGTGTAGCTCAGTGGTTGAGCATCAACCCATGCACCAAGAGGTTGCCGGTTTGATTTCTGGTCTGGTCACGTGCCTAGGTTGTGGGCCCGATCCCCGGTTAGGGGCATGCAGGAGGCAGCCAGTCGATTTTCTCTCTCATCAATGTTTCTATCTCTCTCTCCCTCTCCCTTCCTCTCTTCCTAAAAATCAATAAAGAAAAACAATTTTTTAAATAAATAAATAAATTGGACTGTTTGCTTTTTTTGGTGTTGAGTTATATACTTTTTTCATAAATTTTGGATATTAACCCCTTATCAGATATCATATGAAAAACCCACAGCCAATATCATACTCAGGGAGCAAAAACTAAAAGCATTTCACTTTAGAGCAGGAACAAGTTCACTTTCACCACCCTTATTCAACATAATACTGAAAGTCCAAGCCATAGCAATAAGACAAGAAGAAATAAAAGGCATTCGTATTGGAAAGAAAAAAGTAAAACTGTCATTATTTGTAGATGACATGATACTATATACAGAGAACCCTCAAAATTCCACCAAAAAACTACTAGAAATGATAAACAAATTCAGTAAAATGACAGGATGCAAAACAAATATTCAGAAATCAGTTGCATTTTTATACACTGCTAATGATTTATCAGAAAGGGAAACTAAGAAGACAATCCCTTTTTTATTAAAAAAAAAGTCAAAAATTTTCTAAGTACAGTATTTCAGGATCTGGTGATATTCCCTGTGGCATCACTAGAGGTCAGAGTTTGGCTGAAAATAGACACAAAAAAGGCTGGGTGTGTTCTGTGGCCAACCTAAGAGTGGTTCTTGTTGACTGTTTCAATGAATCAATCTGCATCAAACTCAGCACTGTATAGAAAAGAGTTCGTTTTGGGGACGGAATGCTTATTCACCAAGTTCTTACCTTCCAGTTAGGAAGACAAAGCAAATAAAGGGGAAAATATCAGAAAGAATAACAGGACACATAAGGCCAACGTACAATTTGAGCAATGTAGTCATGCTATCCATATTGCCCCCTGATCTCGCCCTTATCCTATCTAGGTTAAATGAGCATAATATCAAATTTCCTATCTTCAGAAACAACCTCTTCAACCCAGTCTTTGAACCGGAACCAGCAGTAAAGTTGGGAGTGTACTTAACGTCTATACTATACTACTCACTGAACACTCTTGGGCTTTCTAGGATGCACTCAGGGACTTGAATGAGTTGGCTACTGAACTGCTCTCTGGCGAAGTTTTCAATGCTGAACAGATTGTGGAGAAAATAGATAATGTCAACAAGCGCTTCCTAGATGTCCAGGATCTAGCAGCTGCACACCATGAGAAACTGAAAGAGAATTATGCCTTGTTCCAATTCTTCCAGGACCTAGATGATGAGGAATCCTGGATAGAGTACGTACCATCAACTTACATTACATTGGTAATTCAAGATAGTGGATAATCCACAAAACATGTTTCTATTTGATGCTGAAAGGAAATAAGTAATGTTTCTTGCAGTTGGCATTACTTCTTAATCATGTTTGCTTTAGCTTAAAGTTAACATTGATTTTATTTTTCCCAAATTCCCTCACTGTACACAGGCAGAGGGAGGTAAGAATAGAGGGAGTGGGGAGCAGTTCACATACAGTCTGGGAACAAAATTAAGAAACCATAGCTCTATAGTGTTCATAGAATGTGTGATGCTCATTCGGAATGAGACAGCTGGACATTTACAACTTACCCAGTTGATGAGATCATTGCCATTATTCTTTTTGTATCCTGTGTATCTAATATGATACTGAACTGGACACTGAACAGGGTATGTGACACACATTACCTATCATGGTTTTATTATTAATAAATTCTACCTTTGTTGTAAAAAATGCGGTTGGCAAGAACCATATGATTTCACTCATATGTGGGATATAAAATGAAAGCAACAAATAAACAAGAATAACAAACAAGAACTCAAACAAGACAAATGCTACAGTGTGCTGGTTACCAGAGGGAAGGGGGTGGGAATAGAAGGGTAAAGGGAGTCAAATATGTGGTGAGGGAAAAAGGTAGACTCTGGGTGGTGAGCACACAATGCAACATACAGATGATGTACCATAGAATTGTACACTTGAAATTTATATAATTTTATTTACCAATGCCACCCCAATAATTGTAATTAGATTAAAAATAAAACAATTAATTTGTTTTATTAAACATAAAACAAATATTTACTTGGAAAACTGCGATTGAGAATATATTAGCAAATCGAATTATTTTCTTTTGTTAACTATGTTTTCATTGTTTTTTTAGAGAGAGGAAAGAAAAGAGATATAGAAACCTCTCAGCTGTGTCCCGCATGCCCCCTACTAGGGATTGAGCCTGCATCCCTGATGGGGAATCAAACAGGGACCTCTCAGTCCATGGGACAATGCTCAATCCACTGAGCCACACCAGCCGGGCAAATTAATTTCTATTTAACCTCCCTCATTATGTTTCTCTTCAACAAATCTGATGATTTTTAATAGTAATCAATGAGTTAGAAAAAGCACTGTACACAGGACAACAAAGAGAACATTTTAGAAACCTTTTTAGAAGCAGTAAGATAATATAATCTTGTCTATGTAGTTTTTTACTGTGATTCATTATAATATTCAAACATTTTACAGTCAGAACTAATCCAACTACCATTACTTCTGTAATATCAGCTTTTTATAACTCATTCTAACAAACTTTATTAGTAGACAAAAATAATAAATGCCACAAAAGTAATATATATTGATATATGTTTGTGGGTATGTATATACATATACTTTTCACTTTTATTGAAAGAGAAGCACTAGTTTACATTCTTGAGCAAAGGAGATAAGATACATAATTAGACAGGCAAAGGAACTAAAGGGAAGGCTGTTACTGTTATGCATATGATAGAGATTAGTATGTTATTTTAACTGTATTACGTAAGTTAAAAATCTTGCTGAAAGCCTTTGGTAGTCTCTTTGTGATTACTGACACCAGTGTTACCACCACCGCATGCCCAGCCACGCACACACTCTTAGAAAACTGTTATACTATGATGACCTCAGATGTCTAAACTCTGTTTTCTTCCTTATTCGCAGAGAGAAGTTGATACGAGTGAGCTCCAAAGACTATGGGAGGGATCTGCAGGGGGTTCAGAACTTACTGAAGAAGCACAAACGCCTCGAGGGAGAGCTGATGGCACATGAACCTGCCATCCAGGTAGGAATAGTAGGATATGAGATCTGAAAAGGCAGAGATCATCTAAAAGTAGGCCCTTGGGTAATGAATAAATAGGATGGGATGATTCTATGTGGTATGTCAAGATCACATAGAGTTAGTCATAGGTTTCAAGCGTGTTCTTTTCTCCTCCACATTTTGTATCCTACAAATAGAAGAATTCTGCACAGAATCTATGTTCTTACCTGGAAGGAGCACTTTTAATATGCCAGGGCAGAGCTGTTGACAATTAGGGTGCAGGTTGGGACATTCAGAAAAGCTTGAGCTGAGCCATATGGAGCAAAAGTAACTCTGGTTCTGACTTGGCAGCAGGGTCGTCCTATGAATAGGAACAATCCACAAAGCAGATCATGGAGTACGTGGCCTAGTACAAAATGCCTAGTACACTTGGGTAAATTTAACATGGTAGATCTTACTACAGCTTCCTTATTCTCCCAGGATTTTTAAGACCACTCCAAATACCATGGAGTTAAGAAATAATCTGGCTAGATGCTCAGCCAAGGTAACTGTGTCTAAATTGGGAGAGGTGGTGAGGCAATGCAACACGGAGTGGGTATGTTCTTCAGAATGTGCTGGACATGGCGGAGGAGCTGGAAGCCAAGGCTGCTGTGGAGCAGGAAGAGATCCAGGAGCGGCTGGCTCAGTTTGTTCAACACTGGGAGACGCTCAAAGAGTTGACCAAGGCTCGGTGAGTCGGGGATTGGAGGCCCAGTTCTCTTCCTGTGTGGCAGGTATTGAACTGGTGTTGGGGAGGATACTTAAGTGTTTGCTCAGCATTTCTCCTCAGCTACCCATCTCATCTTCTAGGTCCCTCCTTTAATGCAGTCTTCCATGAAACGTTCCCCATTTCCCCCAGGCAGAAGTGATTTCTGCCTCTGTGGTCTAATATACTTCTACCCCTGTACTTAGTTGCAACTATCTTTTATTGTTTCCCTACATATGTTTCCCTTCATACCAGGTTATTCGCCACATGTTTGTTCGTATATTGCCTCAGTTTTAGCATTGCACACAACAGTTAAGAGTGAAATAAATATTTTCCCCCTTATAGCCATATAGCCATTTAGAATTATACAGTCATATAGCCAAAGAAAATAATTTCTACCTATAATTTCCTGTGTGTTTGCAACAGGAAGACATTTCTTCCTGGGGAATAAAATCACTTTGTAGTACCTATGTTGTATAAGAAGAATGGCAGAGTTCAGAGTAGAAGGGATCTCTGATCCACTGTGCTTATTCTCCAACTCCAGTGTCTTGGCACTTTTGTTTGGACAAGATTTCCTTTCCTCAGTAAACATTCCTGGAGAATGATGATGCCACAAAACTGAATTTGTGGGTCAAGGTTCCCTCCCTTTTCAGAGGAGGTCACTATAGCTGACTAGTAGACACATATGCAATGTTTTGTATGGCCCAGCTCAACTATGCTTGCCTCATGAGAGTGTGCCCTTGGCTCCACTTCCACTTGCTAGCTTTCTCTTATCCTCATCGGGGCTTGTCGCCCTGTAATAGTGGGCTTCAGTTGGAAGAGTCCCTGGAGTACTTGCAGTTTATGGAGAATGCTGAGGAAGAGGAAGCTTGGCTCAATGAAAAGGAAGCAGTGGTTGCCCGCAGGGATTCTGGAGACACATTGGCTGCTACTCAGGTGAGCAATAGGCTGAATTAATCATTTTTCTCCTCTTTAATAGGAATCTCCTCTTAGATACTCAATGTTTTCACCTTAAACTCAGCATATTTTGCCTGATGTGAATTAAAAAAACAAGACTATAAGTTTATCTCTTAATATAGGATGTTCTTGATACTTAGTATCTTTCTGGTAAATACAGTGTTTCATAGAATTTCATACACTTCAGTATGGAGAAATCCTTATGTATTACCTTGACCAACACTCTTATTCAAAAAACCCAGAAAGCTCTAAGGTCATGTGGTAAGTTAGAAACAATGTCACATATTCCTTTGACTCTTTGTCTGATAAGGTTGCCCTTTTTGGCAAGTGAGGAAATTTGGGAGCTGAATGTGAGTGGGATAGATTGTCCAGACGTGTTGATTCTCACTGGTTCACTTATGCAGAGTTTGCTAAAGAAGCATGAAGCTTTGGATACTGACTTTGCGGTCCATGAGGCCCGAGTGCAAGATGTGTGTGCTCAGGGAAGAGACATACTGGATAAGGTGAGAGACCAGAAATTCCATGTTAAATGTTCATTTTCAGAAGGAATTGGCCCAAATATAGACCCATTAGCAGTGCTAAAATCATACATAAAGATTTAATAATCTCTTCTTTAAACATCTAACAAATATAAATTGGTTTTTATTATCTAGAGATGCACTATCCAATATAGCAGCTACTAGCCACCGTGGCTATATTTAGAGGTGATGTGCTGGTAACTATTTAACAATCAGCTACTGCTCAAAAAAATAACTGCCACAATTGATGATTTCTGTGAAATACATTTTTCCATGGTGGCCCAATTTAAATCTATCTTTTTTAACCTTCCTTTTTCTTCTTCTTGTTATTGTTCTCAGCAAATAGTTATCTATTTAATTTGTTTTCTGGAAGTTCTTTATTCAAGTTCTTATAAATACACCTTTCAGATTTCTTTCAATTGGTTATTGACACACTTACTCTTATCCTATGTACACTATGGCATTTGTGAAGATTTTATACATGAATTGCTTTAATCATAGAATATTTGTAAGTATGTGAAAGACTTTTTTTGTAAGGCCCTAGAGATGAGGACCACTTGGAAACCTATTTGTAATTTGAGTATCATTCTTTTGTTTAAATGCTGTTTTCACAAAGCCTCACTGATGTAAGTGCTATACAAAAACCCTAAACAGGGATGACTTCATCCTTTCTAGATGCTTACAGCCACTGAGAAGATCACAGTTATGTGGACAAGCATGAGAAGATTATCTAAATGCTGGGATGGAAATAACCATCTGGGACATAAAGGAATAATAGAATAAAGTCACTAGACCTAGAGGAGAGTAGTTAAATATTTTGAAAGAGAGATGACAGGTTTTTAATAGTACCAAAGAATTCACAATTTTGGCCTTGGTCTCTCTCTTTCTCCTTTCAACCTTGGTGTTGCAGGAAGGAAGTCAGCAGAAGGAGAAGATTTCTGCCAAGATAAAGGCTTTGAGCGAGAAGACCCCTTCTCTGGCCCAGGCAATAGCTTCTTGGAAGTTGCAATTGGAAGACGATTATGCCTTTCAGCAGTTCAACTGGAAAGCTGATGTGGCAGAGGCCTGGATAGGTATGATATGTGAAGGCCAGGGTTCTTGGGTTTGAGAAATGCTGATCATTTCTTTAATAGAATGGTTCCTGGGGTTTTCTCACTTACCATGTGAAGAGAAGTGTTCCCTTCATCACTCACTCCTGTCCTTTTGGGACACAACTACAGTTACACTCACATGTGTTCAAACACCCCCCCCCCACACACACACACACACACACAGAGAATCATGCTGAAGGGATGGCTAAGTATCAGAGAACATCTTCTGAGAATTGGTGATTTCACATGTGATAGAAAGATAGGGCTGTGGCAAAACTTCTAGGAAGTGATTTGATTTCATTATAATTTATGTCTAGCATGAAATTATTTTATTCTATGAAACATTCAGATGTTCTCTTGGTCCTAGCTTGGTTTCAGTCAATTTATCCTGAATAAGTCTATAGAAACAATCCATTCATCCCCACTGCGCTCATAACCCAATGAATCACTGATTTCGAGAGTTAGGAGGCTCTCTTATGAACCATAGGACATATTTCTTTTCTACTTACCAATTATGATTCAATGTCAACTACCTTTCTCAACTCATTAATTATCTTTGCTCTTCAGCTGAGAAGGAAGCAAGCCTGAAGACCAATGGCAATGATGCAGACCTCACTGCCTTCCTCAGTCCCCTGGCAAAGCAGGTGAGGGCAGGGTAGCCTTTTTAATAGATGCCAGTGAGGGCCAAGACCCATAGCACATGGGAGCTGAACACACAGGATTATTTCATTCCTAAATATTGTGGGCTTATTGTCTGTAGAACCTATAATATCGTTCATTTTATCCTTTCTGATATTGAAAATTTGCTAGTTTTTTCTCTCTCTCTGCCTGTCCCTGCCCACTCTCTCTAGTTAATTTTGCAGTAGATGTTTATCATTTTTATTAGAGAATCAATTTTTGGCTTTTTTTTTTCTTTTCTATCTTTTTATCATATTCCATTAATAACTTTTTATATCTTTATCATTTTCTTTCACTTTCTTTGGGATTACTTGATTTAAAAATTGTTTAAGATGGCTATTGAGATTTCAAATATTTAGTCATTCTTCTTTTCTAATATATTGATCTAAGGATACAAATTTCTAAATAAAGCTTAGATGCATCTCACAAATTTTAGGTTATTTTTGTTATCATTCAGTTAAATATGTTCTAACTTGATTTATTTGACCCACTGATTATTCTGTAGTGTATTATTTAATTTTCAAGCATTTGGGAAATTTCTGATTATTGTTTTTGACATTTATATTTAATTTATTTTACTTTATTTTAAAAACATACTCGATTTTATTTTAAGAGCTTGATTTATATCTAAAAAATGGTCTGTTGCTCAACAGTTTTTGTACAATTGAAAGAATATGTATTTTTCAGTGGTTTATATTGCCTGTTAGATTTTGTTAATCATTTTATTTAAATACTTATTGTTTTTATATATTGTGAGGTTAAGTTAAAAGTCATGTTGACATTTAGAGTTATGTAATCATCTTAATGAATTGATACTTTTAATTATGAAATATTCATCTTTCTAACATTTCTTAATTTAAAGTATTTTTCACATACTAGAAGACTAAACTAATTTTCTTTTGTTTGTAGTATATATCTGTTTTCATCTTCTGGTGTTTTTTATATTTCTCTGTCTTTATATTCTATTTTTCTTATTGATTTGACACATTTATAAACTGCAAAATAATTACCATCATAGAATAACATAATGCTTTTATTCTGTCACATAATTACCATTTGTTTTTAGTAAGAACATTTAAGATTTATTCTCTTAATAACTTTCAAGTATATAATACAATTTTATTAGCTATAATAACCATGCTGTATATTAGATCTCAGAACTTGTTCAAAGGAAGTTTATATCTTTGTACCTCTCCCTGGCCCCCAATTCTTGGTAACTACTATTTTAGATTCCACATATAAGTGATATCATGCAGTGTTTGTCTTTCTCTGTCTGATTTATTTCACTTAGCACAATGCCCTCAAACTTTATCCAAGTTGTTGCAAATAGCAGGGTATCCTTCTTTCTCATGACTGAATAATATTCCATTGTATGTATATATATATATGTATGTATGTACGTATGTATGTATCTACCTCCCTACATCACATCATTTCCCTTTTCTTTTTTTAATTCTCACCCGAGAATGTGTTTTATTGATTTTTAGAGAGATGAAGGGAGGAAGAAAGAAACATTGATGTGAAAGGAACATCGATCAGTTGATGCCTAGGGATTGAACTGCAACCTAGGTATGTGCCCTGGCTGGGAATTGAACCCAAAACCTTACTGGTGTATGGGAAAATGCTCCAACCAACTGAGCCACCTAGCCAGGACTATATTGTGTCTTATCTATTCACCTGTTGATGGACACTTAGGTTGTTTCTATATCTAAGTTATTGTGAATAATGCTGTAATGAACATAGAATGTGGAATGTCTTTCTATTTTCGATGCTTCTTTTATAAATATTGTATAGTGAGTATTGCTTTGTTTATCTAACTGGATCATTTTATTGGAACAGTGAGTTCATTTACATTTAAAGTAATTCATTCATAAGTTTTGACTTAAAGCTATAATTTAATACCCCCTGTCCCCCACCCAACCCCTACTTTTTTAGCTAGGGATTGAATTGCATCAAAGCATACTTTTAGTTTTATTTATTTATTTATTTTGAGGACTAGTCTTTTCTTCAGTTTGCTTTTACACCTGGAGCCTTTCGGGTTTTCAACTAAATCTCTTTCACTAGGGCTGCTCATAAGTAATGTGTCCTGAACTTAGCACTGTGTGACTACAGAAAACTCTACTTAGCACTTTAGATCCGTAGCTACTATTTTCTGCTTGGCTTCTAGGACGTGTGTCCTACAAAGTTTAGAGATTTATAAATGTCTTGAGAGGAAAAGACAGGCAGAATATTGAACCTACTTTTTTGCAGTTCCCTTTCCAGGCTCCTCAAATTCTGGCTGCTGCACTTCCCAAGAACTCCAATTTTCGTCATCTTAGCTCTATGAGATCATCTAAAGTTCTGATCAGCTGCTTTCAATTCTTACCCTGTACAGTTTATACTTCAAAAGCAAAAGTAACAGAGACTATTACTCTTACTCTACTATCATTTCCTCCTCTCTAGGGTTTTAATCGTTGAGTTATTGCTACCTGAGCTGTATTAGGATCCCTTTCAAACAGCTGATTTTTTTCCTTTTTACCCAGCAGTTAAAGTTGTTGTCAAAGAGAGAATTGGTTCAATACAAGCCACTCTATTAAAGTGGGAAGTGAAACATCCCTGATTATGATATCAACATCTTCCAAAAATATCATTTGTCTAATACAGCATCTGTAGGAGGTCTTTGGTTAGTTTGCATATTTCCAAGATCTTTAATAGTGCACTGCTAGCCCTGGCCTGTTTAGCTCAGCAGTTAGAATGTCGGCCCACACACCAATGAGTCGTGGCTTCAGTTCCAGTCAAGGACACGTGCCTCGGTTGTGGTTCCTCCCTGGCCCTAGTTGGAGTCATGAGGGAGGCGGCCACTCAATGTGTCCCTTTCATGTCAATGTCTCTCTCTTTCTCTCTCTTCCTCTCTCTCCCTCCCACTCTATCTGAACAAAAAGAAATGGAAAAGTGTCCTTGGGTGAGGATAAAAAAATAAATAAAAATAGAAAATAATAGTACACTGCTAGTAATCAGAACACAAAATCAAATAAGTGATACAAAAAAGTCTTAGAAAGGATGCGAACTAAAATCTAATTTTAAAACATGCATCCATTGGAATTTAACCATAATCCCAATCCCAAATGTTCACTTAAGTCTCTAAGTCATATTTCCTTTTCCTTGGTCATCGTTCTAACTCTTTTCTAGTCCTTATCTTGTTCATGATAAATATATATATATATGGTGGAACTCAGGTGTAAATGACCCTTTGCAATCTGCATTATTCCTCTCTTCACTGCTTTTCTATGGGTCTTTTTCAGGACACACTGGATGCCAGCGTGCAGAGCTTTCAACAAGAGACACTGAGTAAGATAACTGATCTGAAGGACCAACTGGTGGCTGCTCCGCACAGCCAAGCCAAGGCCATTGAGGAGCGCCATGCCGCCCTGCTGAAGCACTGGGAGCAGCTGCTGGAAGCCTGTACATCCCACAGACAGAAATTGTTAGAGAAACAGCTGCCCCTACAGAAGGTATTTTTTTTTTTAATGATGAAGCATGATAAGAACTTGATAATATATTAGCCATAGAATCTAGAAACAAATAGTGGAAACCCTGTTTGCATAATCTATAGACACTGGAGTGAGTACTTTGAAAAGGATCAGAAAGACATTCTTATTGAGCAAAAAGATTTTAGGTTGATAAAAGCTTTTTTTAGACTGTTTTATTGGTTATCCAGCTGACTTGAGATGAAAGCTTAGCACAGGTAATAGAAGAGGTGGGTGGGACAAAGGGTGAAAGATCTTACTGTATAGAAGACCTAAAACTGGCAGGTAGGAGAAAAAGTCATACTGTGCTCTTTAAATAAAAGAAACAAACAAGTAAAATATGTGTTCTTTTATGTCACTAAACATCTCTGAACCTTGATTCTTCCATTTATGAAATAAGATAATATTACCACCATCTCTTGCTGTTTTCTCTTATTACTATTAAAAAAAAAAAAAAGATAATGGATCTAAAAAATTGAGTATAAACCACTAAGTTCTACATGAATATAAGTGATTATAACGTCCTTTCTAATTGTGACTGCTAAGGTATTAGATGTTGATAATAAAAATATCAATAATGGCCCTAGCCAGTTTGGCTCAGCGGTTAGAGCGTTGGCCTGTGGTCCAGAGAGACCTGGGTTCGGTTCCCGCTGTGAGCGCGTACCTCAGTTGCAGTTTGTCCCTGGCCATCGTTGGGTCATGTGGGAGGCAGCCACTCAATGTGTCCCTGTCACGTCGATGTTTCTCTCTCTCTCTCTCCCTCCCACTCTATCTGAACAAAATATTGAAAAATGTCCTCAGGTGAGGATAAATATATATATATATAATGAAAGGAAGTTGGATGGTCAGTGAAATTACTGAACAATCCTAGCCTATAACAAGTATTACACCATAACAAGTTATGGTAGGGAGTTAGGGCAATTGGAAAACAAACTCATAATAAAAAACAGTCATTCTGGGGGGAAAAAAAGTTAGTCTGGACTTTTAGTTAATTGTTACTCTATTGAAAGACATGAGACCTAATTTAGGTGAAAAATGAATCAGTTAATGGAGGAGAAAGAGAAATTGAGAGAGAGAAAAGATATTTCACAATCTGATTCTATTATTTTACTTTCTAACTATAAAATATTTGCAAACTATTCAGTTGATCCATAATATTATGAAAATAATATTAAGTACCTTATAGGTTTTTATATTTTTCTTATTAGTTTCCTCTGTGTTGGTCTATTTTAGCATGTAGAGTGCAGAAATTAGTACAGGGAAGAGATAATAGTGCACAGCCTCTTTAATACCTACGTTTGGGGATGAAAACTAATTTGCATAACAGAAATCTCCTTGGAAGTATAGTCTGCTGACCCAAAATCTGTGATGCAATTTAAATTTAAAATATTTTCTATTACATGCTGTTTGAAACAACCCATGCCATTTCTCTCCTTCAGAAATTCAGTCATTCAGAGCATATAGATAACTCCAAAGAGTATTGTAGGAATAGGGACACAAGTTAGAGGGTAGGAAATGGGTTTAAACAGGAACTTCAGGGATGACCTGAGTCCTGAATGAGTTTTAGAAAAATGGTAGGAAAAGCACTCAGTCTAGACTAAGGTATGGTCTGCAGAAGATTAGAAGAGGGAAGGGGTTAGGACAGATTTGCCTATCTTATGAATGATTGGTTCATTTAATCATTCATTTAACATCTATTCTTGCACATTTACTATGTACCAACTAGAACTGAATCACAGACTTCAAAATAAGAAACCATGAAATCTTATCATTGAAAATGATATTTGCCACTTTTGGAATCTTAGAGCTAAAATGTCCCTAGAAATCATTCAACTTTCTCATTTGTAGATGATGGAAAACTTGGCCAGTTTCACAGTGAGATGCCTGGATAGCAGGGCTTATACCTCTAACTCACATGTCCATCCATCTGATTGTGTGGTTCCTATTGGTTTTAGTTCTGCTCTCTTAAAGGGTTTGCCCTGAAAATATTTAAGACAATTTTTTTTTGTTTTATTTTATATTCTCAGTCTTCTCTTACCTTTCTTCTCTTCTCCCCTCCCCTCTCTTCTCCTCTTCCATCTTCTCTTTTTCTTTTCTCTTTCTATTAGGAAAGATGAAGGTGTCTTTTTTTCTCTTTGTAGGCTGAGGAGCTGTTCATGGAATTTGCACACAAGGCTTCAGCTTTCAACCACTGGTGTGAGAATGCAGAGGAGGACCTGTCAGAAACTGTGCACTGTGTCTCCCTAAATGAGATTCGCCAGCTGCAGAAGGACCATGAGGACTTCTTGGCCTCCTTAACCAGGGCCCAAGAAGACTTCAATGATTTGCTAAAGCTAGACCAGGAGATTAAGGCCTTAAATGTGCCCTCCAGCCCTTATACCTGGTTAACAATGGAGGTGCTAGAAAAGATGTGGAAGCACGTAGCTGACACCATCAAGGTAGTTTGAGGCACAGGAGAGATGGCCATTTAGTTAATCATCCAAGTCGGGGGACTTTGGGGAAAGAAAGGATCACTTTAAATTGGGACAGTCGTCGTAAATTGGGTAGTCTAAGGCATTTTTGAAAATATGTTCACCATAAAGATAGCCCTATGCCACGTAGTTTGAACAATTTTGTGCTTCTAAGTGTTGAACAGTGATTTAGGAAAGCAAACACAAGCTTCAGGAGGTCACACTGAAAATGAGTTATAAAAAGTTCACGAGGCTTGCATCTAACTTTCAAGTCTGTATATTTCTTCATCCAAAGCATTCTCTATTTTATACACACCTCCAAAAGTGCCTTTGAAATATTTTTGTATTTAATTTTGTCTTTCTGTAATGATGTTCATTATAGAAGCTATGGAAAATATAAAAACGTTTAACAAAGGAAAATTTTACCATAAAAGCACCAATTTTAGATGGCAACTCTTATTACTTACTACCTTTTCCTTTAAGGGTTCTTTTATGTTCATTTAAATGAAATATCTCCTGGGGGGGAAAAAAATGAGAAGGAAGATTTGTCTTTATTAGTCAGTTACTTTCACTGGGTTTGGTCTTTGAAACATCTGCAAGTACTTATGGGAAGTGACATGAGCTTTCCTCACCTTTTGGAGATGAGAAGAGGTGGGTTGGAAGAAATATGAGCACATAAGCACATGCCTCTGGAATATAGAATATGTATAAGGGAGAGTTAAGAGATGTAACTGAGCCTGGGAACCAGTTATTTTACTGCAAAGACGGGTTTTTAATGTGCAGTTCACTGTCTGTGATTTGGGTTTCTAGGAACGAGAGCAGGAGCTACAGAAGGAGGAGGAAAGACAGATCAAGAACTTTGATATGTGCCAGGAGTTTGAACAGAATGCCAGTGCCTTCCTTCAATGGATCTTAGAAACCAGGTGTGCTGCGCCACCTCAAAACTTATGATCCTTACGCCACACACTCCATTTCCCATAAAGATAAAATTCATAAAGGGGGGGAGGTGGAGGGATTCCTATAGCATTTATGCTGTTCTTTAATCACCAAATCCTACTTGTGCTGTATATTTGTAATTGATTACTTTCTGAATCGATCCTTGCAAAATTGAGAGAGTTTCAGCCTTCTATCCATTGTGTAGCCTTCAATATTCTCTTCTTGATACCCTCACTTTTTCCCTGCTGCCTATAATGATAGCTCAAAAATAATAACAGTTCTTTTTTATTAAAACATATAATATTGAAATTATTTTTCCACTTTACGGAGTACTTCTATGTCCATTGCCTCGCTTAACTTTTAGAGCACCCTTGAAAAGTATACAGAGAAGACCTATTACCATTGTGTCCAAGGGTGGAAAGAAGTTCAGTAGATACACTGACCTGCTCCAGGTCACATATGTATTTATTAACATAAGCAGAAACACAGCATACTGTAACACCTAATATGAAGCTCTTACGTTGCTTGACTATCAAAGCTGTGATGAGAATCAAGTGAGATAATATATGCTAACTGCTTTTATTGAATGCAAACTGTTCTATATGTGAAAATAACATTTGTCACATCTTCTGGGACAAATAACCTGGAAAAGAGGAGACTCAGCAGGTGTAATATACATTAGAATAAATGGCCTAAGTTGGTAGACTATATTCAGTAAGTGGGTCAGAACTATGAGATTTTGTTAGCTAAAGAATTGGTTTAGACAATCCATGATATATACTGTTTCTACACACTACTGACAAGGATAAATCACACAATTAACAAAAAGGAAATATGTATCATGGCCAAAAAACATCTGAGAGAAGGCACAGGAAATAGAGTTTATCCTTCTCTTCCTTTGGTGTTGGTCCCTCATCCTCTGGCATCATGTGCCCAGCACTGAGCACATCACCTGACATTTGTGCTCTTCATACTACAGTGAGTGGCTGCATGGAAGGCTGTTAGCTTCTCAATGTAAAAGAGACTTTGGGGACAGTGGTTGGAACATGTTCATATGTTTTTGGCTGCAGAGGATTTATAATGTTTCATAAGTCTAGAGAAAAAAAAAAGATCATTAAAGTAATCCATGTTAACATATGCTCTCCCTTTTTCTCTCTGATTCCTGTTCCGGATCTTCATGTCCAGGGCTTATTTTCTGGATGGGTCAGTATTTTATGTTACCATGTTTGTTTTTTTATGGCATTCAGGAATAATTAAACAAGGAGGCCTTGGTACTGGGGCATCTGTATCCCATCTCAATCTGAGGATGCCTAAATAAAAATGTGGGGTGAGAAGGAGAAGACAGTATATATTATTCTGGCCCCATACCCCACTAGGTGGAGTCTTGCTTACGTTAAGTTAAGGGCATGTTTGAGAATAAGAACTAGGGAAAAGGTCTGGAATCCTTCTCTGAGGCAGAGAAGAACTAGAAGAAGCCTAGGTTCCTTCTCATATGTCTGGCAAGGTTTCCAATAGACAGAAGGGTTGGTTTCATGAAAATCTGGTGTTGTGAAAATTTATTTTAGAGAGGCCAAATAACTTGGAAGAAGTAGCAGCAGAGACATGTAGGGGCTTTGAGTTTGTCTGTGTGAATATTGAACTCTGATATTACAAGTAACTTTTTTCTCTGGTTCTTAACTAGATATTTGCTCAAAGAAACAGGAACTCTGGAATCCCAATTGGAAGCAAATAAAGTAAGTAAAGTTTATTCACTAGGTCAGGATATTGCCAGAATTACAAGGGGTGCAAGAAAAACTACTTAAAGGAAACTCTTAAATACTTTCACATAAATTCCCTGGCCTGACAGTCAAGAGCCTAAGCCTCTGGTACCAACTCTGCCAAAATGTTATTCTAACCATTGGCCACCACTTTACTGACATCAATTTGCTTAACTCTCTAAACTGAAATTTCTGTATCTAGACAATAATGTTAATAATACTTATAGTATAGAGTTACTGTTATTAAGTAAAAGAACAATGCAGCCCTGGCCAGTTTGGCTCAGTAGTTAGAGCATTGGCCCTCAAGAGCACATACCTTGGTTGCAGGTTTGAACCCCAGCCACAGCCAGGGCTATGCAGGAGGCAGCCAACTGATGTTTCTCTCTCACATTGATATTTCTCTTTCCATCTCTCTCTCTCTCCCTCCCTTCTACTCTATTTAAAAATCAATGGGAAAATATCCTCAGGTGAGGATTAAAGAGAAAAAGAACAAATGCAAAGCTTCTAGCTTACAACTCTAAACAATGACAAATTATTTTATTTGATAATGACAATTATTTGATAATCACTTAAATCTAGATGATCTCTTAACAGTTGATTAAAGCAATGGGCTACGGCTGTGTTTCTTAACTTTATTTTCATTAATGACCCCTCTAAGAGAACATTTTAACTAATTAAATGTTATTTCTTCCTAATGAGAGAATTTAAATACTAAAGTACACGACATTGTCAGGTAGGAGTTCTCTCAAGAAGGTGAGTAGGTAATTGCTGTGCTGGCTTCCTCCCATGACCACATCAAAATTACAATTAAATTATAGAAGAGTCATCCTGGAGAACCATTTGTATATCAGCTGAACAGAAATCCTGTTACTAAGGATACAAAGAAGCCACAATGAGACTTGTAGGAACAGGGGGAGACTTAAAGCAGGCTGGATCCACATTCATGTTTGGCAGTTGAGAATTTGAAGGGGTATCTCAGCCTCAGAGGTCCCCACCGAGGAGCAAGGGGAATCCCAGCCACACACCGAGCTCCCCAGCCCACATCACCAGTGCTGGAAATAGGAGCCCCCTCATCTGGCTGTGAAATCCAATGGGAAATTTATCCATCTGGGTGAAACAGAAGGCAGCTGGAAGACCAGTGCTCTCTTACAGGGCCTGGGCACACCCTCATTCTCTCACAGGAACTCTCCCTAAGCTCCAGTGGAGAGAGAGACTATGGCTTGGAGGAGCCAGAAACACACAGAAAAACACTTGAGTTGTGTGGTTTCAGAGTGAGAGCTGGAGAAACAACCACCAATGTCTTTGTGTTGAGTCATCCTTCAACACAGCGGGCAAGCAGGTGCCATCTTTCATATGTTGAGCCTTCTCACCACACGGCCAAGTATGAATCTGCATTAACCTGGTGAACACTACTCTCTCCACTACTCATACAACTTAACACCAAACAAGCAAACAATCCAATTAAAAAATGGGCAAAGGGCCTGAATAGATACTTCTCCAAAGAGGACATACCGATGACCAATAGATGTATGAAATGCTCAGTATCACTAATCATCAGAGATATGCGAATTTATTTATTTATTTTATTTATTTTTATCCTCACTGGAGGACACTTTTCCATTTTTTGTTCAGATAGAGTGGGAGGGAGAGAGAGAGAGAGAGAGAGACATTGATGTGAAAGGGACACATCAAGTGGCTGCTATCCGCACGACCAACCAGGGCCAGGGACAAATGCAACCGAAGTACGGGCTCTTAGTGGGAACCGAACCCGGGTCTCTCTGGACGGCAGGCCAATACTCTAACCGCTGAGCCAAACCGGCCAGGGGGAGAATCAGCCCTGGCCAGTTTGGCTCAGCGGTTAAAGCGTCAGCCTGCAGTCCAGAGCGACCCGGGTTCAGTTCCTGCTAAGGGCAATTGCCTCGGTTGCAGTTTGTCCCCGGCTCTGATTAGGTCGTGCGGGTGGCAGCCACTCGATGCATCCCTTTCACGTTGATGTTTCTCTCTCTCTCTCTCCCTCTCACTCTATCTGAACAAAATATATATATATAAAAATGTCCTCGGGTGAGGATAAAAATAATAATAATAATAAAATCAATAAATCAACAAACAACAAGTGTTCGCAAGGATTTGGAGAGAGGGAATTGTCATGCATTGTTGGTGGGACTTCAAATTTGTGCAGCCATATGGAAAACATCATGAAGTTTTCTCATAAATTTTAAAATAGACCAAGCAAGTCCACTCTGGGTATTTACCTAAAAAAAAAATTCTAAACACTTATTTGTAAAGATATATGCACCTCTGTGTTCATTGCAACATTATTTACACTAGCTAAGAGATGAAATACATATATACCGTGAATAGTCTTTAGGCATATAAAAGAATGGAATCCTACCATTTGTGACAACATGGATGGACCTAGAGGGTATTTTGCTATGTGAATAAAGTCAGACAGAGAAAGAGAAATACCATATGATTCTACTTGTATGTAGAATCTAAAGGACAAACAAAACAAAATAAAACCAGAAACAGACTCACAGATACAGAGAACAAAATGATGATTGCCAGATGAGAGGGTTCTTGGGAACCTGGGTGAAAAAGTAAAAGGGGTTAAGAAATACAAGTTGGTAGTTGCAAAATAGTCATGGGGATATAAAGTGGAGCATAGGGCATATAGTCAATAATAGTATAATAACTACGTATGGTGACAAGTGGATACTAGATTTATTAGGGGGATCACTTTATAAATTATATGAATATCTAACCACTATTTTGTGCACCTGAAACTAATATAAAATAATATTAAACATAAAAAGTCATTTAAAAATTAATATAAAATTAAAATGGGGGGAAATCTGATATCAGGTAGAATTGATCTTTGTGGGGCTGCAAACCTTTGTGATATCTAATGTTTTGAACTAATCTCCACTATTATAACCAATTCCTTTCTCCCTTCCCAGCTGAGAAAGCATGGCCTTGATTCAAAAACTGGCTTATAATATGCCTGAATGACAGGAACATATTTTTGAAATCTTCTCAAGCTAATGAAGGAGGTCTGAGAGTGAACAATGCAAAGCTTAAGTAGGCCTTTGAGCTCACTCACAGTCAACAGTGCAGATCAGATAACTCATAATGCAAATCCCTGGAATTTGATGATGCATGGATCTTGGAAATGTATCCCTTTTTCTGTCTGCATTAACACTTTGATTTACAGATTATAGATAGCCAGAATGACAGAGACCATATCACTTAACCTTCCCGCCATTTTATAAGTGAGGATTCAGAAATGAAATGGTTTTTCTGAGTAGTTTATTTCTCATGGAGGACAGGAATATCTCTGAAAATAATTGAAAAGGAGCAGTTAGAGGAAACCCCAACTCATCCGTTTTTTATTTTCACTCCCATCCCTAAGTTTGGAGCTGGTGCCCTGGGTGACTATCTTTCTTCTCATTTTCCAGAGGAAACAGAAGGAGATCCAGGCGATGAAGCGTCAGCTGACCAAGATTGAGGATCTGGGAGAAAACTTAGAAGAGGCTCTGATTCTGGACATCAAATACAGCACCATTGGGTTGGCACAGCAGTGGGACCAGCTCTATCAGCTTGGAATGCGAATGCAACACCACCTGGAGCAACAGATCCAAGCCAAGTACTGAGAACCTATGGCCAGGGCGGGGAAGGGTGTGGGTAATATTAGGTTAGGGCTACAGTTTGGAATACTGGTTGAAAGTACTGCTTAAGAGATAGTACATTCACCATATTCAGAAAAGAAGAAAAATTCCCTTTTTTTTACTGCCCCACAGAATGACTATTTCTCTTCATTCTATTATACAATAGGAGTCATGTTCTCATTGTCCTGAAAATACTAGTCAGTCAATTCTCAGAATTCCTTCACCATCTTGTGTAATATCATCAGAAAGCATTCCCTTTTGTAAAATTTTCTCTAAAATGTCTAGAATGCAAGAAATAGTCAAGGTATGGAGCAGAATTCTTTTTTTCTTCTTTTATAAATAAATTAATTGTCTTAAAGAAGTTGTAGGTCTCCATAGCTTTTCCGGCAGTGTTTTTATCTACATCAGAGGTTGGCAAACTTTTTCTGTAAATTGTTTGATAACAAATATTTTAAACTTTGTAAGCCAGGCACTGGCCAGTAGCTCAATTGGTTAGAGCATTATCCCAATTAACCAAGTTTGTGGGTTCAATCCCCAGTCAGGGCGCATATAAGAATCAACCAATGAATGCAGAAATAAGTGGAACACAAATCAATATTTCTCTCTCTCTCTCTCTCTCTCTCTCTCTCTGTCTGTCTCTCTCTCTCTCTTTCTCTTTCTTTCTCTCTCTCAAAGCAATTAAAAATTAAATTTTGTGAGTCATAGGGTCTCTGTTGTAATTACTCAGCTGCTGTGGTGGAGAGAAACCAGATACTGATAATTTGTAAATAAATGAGCATGAACCTATTCCAATAAACTATTATTTATGGACATGTACATTTAAACTTTATGTATATTTAATAAAGCATTCTTTTTTTTATTATTTTTAGCCATATAAAAAGTGAAAACCATGAATAATGCAATGAACACAGTTTCACACAATACAATACACAGATGATACATCATAGAATTGTTCACTTGAAACCTTATTAGCCAACGTCACCCTAATAAATTTAATTTTAAAAATATAAAAAACATCCCAGCCAGTGTGGCTCAGTGGATTGTTGTCCCATGAACTGAGAGGTTCTGGTTCTATTCCTAGTCAGAGCACATGCCCATGCTCTGGGCTCCATCCCCAGTATGGGGAGTGCAGGAGGCAGCCAATTGATGTTTCTTTCTCACATGGATGTTGCTATCTCTCCCTCCCTTCCTTTCTCTATTTAAAATCAATAAACACACACACACACACACACACACACACACACACACACACACACACATATAAAACACTCTTAGCTCATTGACTATATAAAAGCAAGTGACAAACTGGATCTGGCCCATGGACTATGGTTTGTCAATCCCTAAAGTAGATGATTCAAATAGTGTAATGGTCACTAAAATATCTATTTCATGTAACACAGCTTTTGCTTTTCTGTTTTATTTCACGAGGTAATTAATGTTTTTCCTTTCAGAGACACCAAAGGTGTGAGTGAGGAGACGCTGAAGGAGTTTGACACGACCTATAAGTGAGTATCACTTCATTTCAGACCATTCAGAATAAATTTCCAAATAACATTTTTCCCTTCAGTGTGGCTTGTTAGGATCTTAAATGAAGATCTAGATATGTGATGTAGCTTCAAGTTGTAGCTTGTAATATGTCTTTAAGATTCCTGCACTTTAGAAAATACATTTTTTCAATGTTCAACATTTTATCTTTCTTCCTCCATCCGTTAGGATTTTACAAAGCATAGAAACACAAGCAAGCTCTCCATTCAATTCTCTGATAAGAATATGCCATGTTAGCCTTGGCCAGTTTGGCTCAGTAGTTAGAGCGGAACAAAGAATCGCAAGTTCGATTCTGGTTGAGGGCACGTACCTCGGTTGCAGTTCAGTCCCCAGCCCTGTTGGGGTCGTGTGGGAGGCAGCCAATTGATGGGTCTCCCACACATTGATGTCTCTCCCCCTGCTCCCACCACCCCATCCACTCTATCTGAAGATAAATGGAAAAGTGTCCTCAGATAAGGATTTTTTTAAAAAAAGAAAAAAGATTATGCCATGTTAGTAACACTTTAGCTGATGCAACAAAATTGTTTTTTTCTGTTGTAATATGATTATTGAATTTGATAAAATGTTTTTATTCTATAGACACTTTGATGAGCACTTGACAGGGCGCTTGAGTCACAAAGATTTCCGGTCCTGCCTGAGAGGACTCAATTACTACTTGCCCATGGTGGAGGAGGGTGAACCGGAGCCCACCTTTGAGAGATTTCTGAATGCTGTCGATCCAGGGAGGTAGGAGGAAGACTAAGGGCCATACCATACCAGGGAATGTGACTTGGTGGGACAAGCACAAATAGTAAAATAATCCATAAGACATGAACTCATCTTGAGAGTAGGAAGATACAGACTACAGTAAATGAATTGGGCAGCTTTTGGTGCCCTTTCAGGATTTGCCCAGAAGTTCATGGCACTCACTCTAACTCAGTCACTAGCTTGCAGTTTGACCGCTTCCTGGTTTATGTTTGACATGACTTTCAGTTGGTTCTGAGAATGGAACTCGAGGGAAGAGTCCCTTCATGAGCATAATGCCTTAAGGAGAGGATGACTAACTTGTGGGAGTGGGGGTGTTGTATGCCAGTGACGGTGAAGTAGAATCATAGAGGTATTACATGATGTTAGGGACTAATTCTTTCTAATACCAACACCAAAGAAGACCAGAAAGAGAGGTCTTAAACTCAACTTGAAGAGCTTGAGGTACCTAGATACAGGGTACTGGTGCCAGTGGAAAATTCTGAAATGCTATATAGTTTGTCAGGCTAAAAGACTCATGTGAAAACAGAGGCTGGAATGTAGGAAACTGTTTAATTGGCTGTGAGGGGATGAAAAAGAGGGTCAAATAGATCATAATCTTAGCTGAGCTGGAAGAGGCACTTGGAAAATCCAGCTTCCCTGGGTCTCTGAGACACTGAGTAGAATGAGAAAGTGACCTGTTTTCTTCTCTGAGTTGAGAGGGCACAATTCCTGATCCATTTATCCAACAGGAAGGGCTATGTCTCAATGGAAGACTATACAGCATTCCTAATTAGCAAGGAATCAGAGAACATCAAATCCAGTGATGAAATAGAACATGGTTTCCAGGCCTTGGCAGAGGGCAAGGCCTATATTACCAAAGAGGACATGAAGCAGGTAAGATTCCATTTGCATCTACCTTCATTATATTCTCATAATCATCTAGATTTTGCTCATCTCAGGCCACTAGTAGACTACTACCCTATTCCCCACCTCTTTGTTTTTTTTTCCAGATATCATGTTTCTCTAAATGTCATTTGCTTTGATCACCATTTCATGTTGTGATCAAAACACTAGTGATTATCAGGGTCAATCCCAAACCTGAAACTTAGTTTTCAAGAATATTTTATCCCATTTATTTAATAAGCCAAATTTAGGGAATGGGATCAGTGTAGTCAAAGGGACATGGAACTCTTCAGATAAGAGCTGAGTGAGGAAATTGTTCATCTTATTCATTAGAAAGTATGAATTAATGTGAAAAGTATGTGATATGAAGTGCTGGCTTTCTCTTCTCAAGTTCCTCCACTCCCTGAGTTTAGGGAATATTGAAATCCCAAGGAACCAGTTGTTTTGAATTCCTGTCACTGTATCTTTTTATTTTATGTTTCAGGCTCTAACCCCAGAACAAGTGTCATTCTGTGCCTCACATATGCAGCAGTACGTGGACCCACGGGGCCAAAGCCACCACGCTGGCTATGACTATGTTGGCTTCACCAACTCCTACTTTGGCAACTGAAAGCAGCTCTTACTAGATCATATAAAGTCTTGCTGTGATGGGAAGTACTGGGGAACGAAAGTAACAGGTGAATACGGAGAGTAGGAAGATAGTAGTGTGTGTGTATGACATTTAATCCAGGACCTTAAAAAAAGACACAAACAAACAAAAAAAGCCTTTGGAGATACAAGGCATTAATAGAGTGGGGAAGAGGAGACCGGGGGCTTATTTTGTATGAAATTAATCCCTACTGATGGGTGCCAAGTTCTCTCTTTTTAAAAATGAATAAATAAATAAATTTATTAGAGTGACATTGGTTAATAAAAATATATAAACTTCAAGTATACTTTTCTATGACATATCATTTACATCTCACATTGTATGGCCATGACCCAACGTTAAATCTTGCATCACCATACATTGAACCCCTTTACCTTTTACAAACCCATGCCACCCCCTTCCCTCTGGTAACCACAATACTGTTGTCTGTATTGTTCATTTATTTCAGTTTCATATTCCACATGTGAAATCACATGGTTCTTGACTTATTTTCTCTGAAGTATTTCACTTAGAATGATATTCTCAAAATCTTTTCATGCTGTGGCAAATGGCAGTATGCAATTTTTTCTTATAAATGTAGTATGTGTGTGTGTGTGTGTGTGTGTGTGTGTGTGTATAATGACATATATAATGGAATACTACTCAGCCAAGTTCTTTTTTTTTTTTTTTTGAGAGCTGTACTCTAGGTATTGGTTTTTTTTTTTATTAATTAATTTTTGTTACAGATGTTTCTCCTTTTTCCCCCACTGATTCCCCCCTTCCCCTCCCTCCCTGCCCTTTCCCCAGTTTGTTGTCCATGTCCACTGTTCATGCATATATGCATATAAGTTCTGTGGTTTATCTCTCCCCCACCACCCCCCTCTTTAGGGGATTGTCAGTCTGTACCCCACTTCCGCGTCTCTGGAACTACCCCATTCCTCAGACTGTTATGTTCATTATATTCCACAAATAAGTGCGATCATATGAAACTTGTCTTTCTCTGTTTTCAGCCAAGTTCTCTATTTTTTTATTTGTTGGGTTCTACATATATCTTTCTAAAATTTTTATGAAATTTATTGTGGTGAACAATGGTTAATAAAATTATATGGGATTCAAATGTATAATACACCATCTGTGGGTTCACCATGCAAAGTTAAGTCTCCTTCTGTACCACTTATCCCCCCTTTACCTTTGTCTAACTGCCCCTACCCACCTTCCCCTCTGGTAATCACCATACTATTATCTGTGTCTATGAGTTGTTGTTTGTTGTTGTTTAATCCCTCTACCTTTTTCACCCAGCCCCCTATGCTCCCTCCGCTCAGACAGCTGCCTGTTCTCTGTATAAGTCTTTTTCTATTTTGTTTGTTTTATTCATTAGATTTCACATGTAGATAAAATCATATGGTGTTTCTCTTGGTGTAACAGGGTTATGTACTTAACATAATACTCTCCAGGTCAATCCATGCTGTCGTAAAAGGTAAGATTTCCTTCTTTTCTATGGCCATGCAGTTTTCCATTGTGTAAATGTACCACAGTTTTTTTTATCTACTCTTCTACTGATGAGCACTTGGGCTGTTTCCAGATCTTGACTATTTAGTCACCAGGTAGGAGTGAATAGTGTTCCCCAGATTGATATAGGTTCAAACTCGGTGCCAGTGCTGAGTCTGAGGCCACTCAACAAAAGTCCCAGCGTGTACCAAGTCCGGCTGCCACGGACCAGTGCTTACAGACCATTGTGGTAAGGGGCGTCTCAGGGCATTGTCAGGGAGGGCCTGCAGACTTTATTAGGCCCCAACACTCCAAGATTTGACCATGTGAAGCGAGGCATTGCACCGTTGGGTGTGAGAGGGAAAAAATGGCCCCTGTTCTAGAGCCAGGCAACTCAGTCTGTCACAGATTGTGCCAGGATCTCCTGGACAACATGAGCCTAGCAAGGCAGGGCACCATGAGTCAGGAGGGTGCAGTTCCTAGATCTCCCAGGAGGGTGATGCCCTGTCAGGCTTGGAGGAAATGGAAACCTCCTTAGGGCCACACAAATCAGTCTGTCTCAGATTCTGCCAAGCCTTCCTGGGAAGCTGAATTTAGCAGGGTGGGGTTGCCAGGAGTTGGGAAGGTAGAGCCCCTGGGAGTCTGGAGGGTGGGGCTAGTTGATGATTTGTGAGTATAGGCAGGGTTCGGGCTCATGGTAAGGTGTGGAGCTCCCCACTGCAGAGCCACATAACTCAGTCACTGACACCCCAAGCCTGCCCAGACCTTTACATCCACTCTGGGCAGTTGACTTTGCAGGGCATGATCTCCAAGGTCAGGGCAATAGGGAGTTTGGAAGGTGGGCTCTTGCATTTTTCCAGGCTGATGCCTTAAAGAGGGGGATGCTCCATCCAAGAAAGAAGCGTCTGTAGTGTAGGAGAATGACTCAGCACAGGGATCTGGTGGCTGTCCCTTCAGCTTTTCTGCTAGAGCCACAAACCCCAGTCTCTCCTCACAGGACCCTAGTCCACTCTGCCTTCCCTTTCCAGAGCCCAGGGTAAGTGGCTGCAAAGGAGATTTCGAGTGCTGCACATTTAAGAAGACACCTGTGTCTCTAGCAGATTTCCGTCTCTCTCTGGCAGACAGAATCTCTGCTGATTTTCACAGCCAGATATTATATAGGTGTCTCTTTCTGGCTCTGTTGCTCTGGGCTTGGGAGGCCAGGATGGGGCTGAGACTCCATGCCTCTCAGTGGGAACCTTTGCTGCTGAGATGTCTCTCTGGAATCTCAGCTGCCCCCTGAGGGAGCAGGGTCAGCCCTTTGCACATCTAAGCCCTTCCTACCAGTCTCAGTATGGCTTCTTTTGGTTTGTTTGTTTGTTGTTGTTGTTTGTTTTTGATAGACTGGAAGGGAGGGAAGGAGAGAAAGAGAGAGAGCGAGACATCAATGTCTCCACATCGATTGGGTGCCTCCTGCATGGCCCTGGGGCTGGGGATCAAATCTGCACCCAGGTAAGTGCCCTTGACAAGGAATTGAACCTGCAACCCTTGGGTCTGCAAGCCAATGCTCTAATGCTGAACAAAACTGTTGGGGCAGTGTGGCTTCTTTTGTAAATATTTGGTATAATATACATATATATAAGACTTCTGTTCAACTCATCTTCAGCTGGTTATTTAGATTGATTGTTCTATATTTAAATATTTTTCATATTGATTTTTAGAGAGAGAGAAAGGGAGAGGGAGAGAGAGATAGAAACATCGATGAGAGAGACATATCGATCAGCTGCCTCCTGCACATCCCCCTCTGTAGATTGAGCCCACAACCAGGGCATGTGCCCTGACCAGGAATCAAACCAGTGACCTCTTGGTCCATGGGTCATTGCTCAACCACTGAGCCACACTGGCTGGGAGATTGTTCTATGTGTTAGTTGTAATTTCAGTTTGGTCCTGGAAGGAGGTAAGTGTAACGTCCAACTACTATGTAGCCACATAAATATATCTTTATTACTTTGTTTTGTTCTGATTATAAAATAAAATATTTTTATCAAGCCCAGCTGGTGTGGCTCATCTCCCTCTCTCTATTTCTATCTTTCTCCCCCTCTTCCTTCCTCTCTCTCTAAAATCAATAAAGAAAAAAGTTAAAAATTAAAATAAGTAAATATAGACAGCCAAAGAAAAAAATCTTTTAATATATACTTTTATTAAAATTTTGTTAGTATTTTATTAGCGCAATATGAAATAAAATGCTACTGACTCACCTGGGTTTCTGTACTACTGAGAATTGTACTATCATCTAAATATGGCCGTGCCAGTGTGGCTCAGTGGTTGAGCATCGACCCATGCACCAAGAGGTTGCTGGTTCAGTTCCTGGTCAGGGCACATGCCCAGGTTGTGGGCCAAATCCCCAGTGGGGGCATGCAGGTGGCAGCCAATTGATGTTCTCTGGTGTGGCTCATCTCCCTCTCTCTGTTTCTATCTTTCTCTTCCTCTCCCTTCCTCTCTCTCTAAAATCAATAAAGAAAAAAGTTAAAAATTAAAATGAGTCAATATGGACAGCTAATTATGCTATGAATAAGGACCATGAAAGAGTTGAAAAATAAAATCCAAGATGATTTCTCTTGAGTTTAGGAATGTGTTTAAATTTTTACAATGAAAATATTTGATAGACTGAGGAATCCTGATAGTTTAGTCTATAAAATGGAACTACACACTGAAGACCAGCATTGCACCCATTTTTTTCTTAATCTGTCCCTTTTTCAATACTTTTGCATTAGAATGAACGTTATTACCCTCAGATTGGCAAAATTCCAGCATAAAAGAGATTCCTTTGGTCCTCCATGTACCCAAATTTCCTCTTCAATTCTAATGTGATAAAAAGAATATTTTTTATTTATTTTAATCTCTGATCAGAGCAAGGGTCAGTAGAATTATTTATAAAATTAATAATTAAAACAACAACAAGAGAGGTAGTCATGTCTCCAAGAATTTTCAGCCAGTTTTGGTCTGAACAAGTTCAAATGATGACATTCTGTACTGACTTTTAAAAGTTGATGGTGTTGCTCGGCCAGTGTGGCTCAGTGGTTGAGCATCAACCCAGGCACCAAGAGATTTCCAGTTTGATCCCTGGTCAGGGCACATGCCCAGGTTGTGGGCAAGATCCCCAATGAGGGGCATGCAGGAAGTCACCAATTGATGTTCTCTCTCATTGATGTTTCTATTTCTCTCTCTCCTTTCCTCTCTCTCTAAAAAAATCAATAAAGAAAAAAAATAAAAATAAAAGTTGATGGCGTTGCCCAGTATTATAGCTCTGTGGATTGAGCATCATCCAATGGTTTGATTCCCAGTCAGGGCACATGCCCTAGGTTGCAGACTCGATCCCCAGTGGGGGGTGTACAGGAGGCAGCCAATAGGTGTTTCTCACTCACATCGATGTTTCTATCTCTGTCTCTTTTCCTCTCTAAAAAAAAAAAATCAATAAAAACATATTTAATAAATAAATAAAGTTGATGGTGTCATTTGGTGGTGAGAATTCTTAGGTCATTTTTTTTTTTTTTTTTTGCTTTGTGTGAATCTTCTATTATCCTGCATGCCTAGCCACGTGCATTGCCACTTGAATACCATCTTAAGTCTCAATTTCATCCTCTGTTGAGAAATTAGTACTTCCTTAAGAATAAATCCTCTAATGGAAGCTGTTTAAATGAATTTTGGTCAAAACTAAAAAGCTATGTTGTCTAATAATAATATTTAAATGTTTTTACTGATTTTATGAAACCATATTATTATTTTACTTATTTAAATTAATTTATTGGGTGGACATAGACAACAATGCTG